TTGTTCGATCCATTGATTATGGATTGTACGACTATAAGTCATTAAACTGTTATTTTCCATTGCAAAGTTTATTAAAACGGAATTAAGAGATTTGCATTGTCTGTCATGGACAGGTCAAAAGTTGTCACACTAATTGTAAGTGGATTCTGTTGGAATATCGCAAAAAGAAGAATTATCAAACTATTCACTAATTTAATTTTCTAAAAGGTTACAAGATGATTTTTCGGAATAAGCGGACGATAGATATCTAAATATTTAAATATATTATGAGATCTAGAGTTATTAAACTACAGTAAATATATTTAGGGTTATAAACGTATCTATGAAATATTTTTGTATTTCACTTCTTTTTTCACACAAGTACAATGAAATGGTAGAGGAATATCACAAAGAGAAGATCTATCGAATTATTCACTAATTTAGTTTTCTAAAAAGTTATATGACAATATTTTGGAATTAACTTTAATACCTAATTATTTATAGAGAAATACTTTATTAAAAGTAATGCTGCCCTACTACATAGGGTTGCTTCGTACACAGCATACTTATCAATCCATACGGACATTAATTTTATATTATATTTTTCTTCTTTTTTTTCTCCCGATTCATAACAATACTCTTACAAATTATCAACAATAAGCCATATTAAGCAATAGACATAGCATAATAAACACTTTCCCAAAATAAAAAAAATTCCTTTTTTCTCTTTAAATTCTCAAACGCCAGGAACGCAATATAACATCGCACACATATATAACACAGCAATTCCTTGAATGTAGCCAAAAAGATAAGACGATTATGGACCAATTTAAAACTTAATAAATAATTACTAAACTACAGTAAATGTATTTAATATTATAAACTCATGATTTATACATCCATGAAATGATTTTATATTTTATTTCTTCTTTCACACAAGTACACTGAAATAGTTTTTTTAACAATGCCATCAACTTGCTTAGGTGGATTTTAAATACATTTAAAAAAAATTAGCATTACCATATTAACACATTCGAAATTCAAAAACCGAAACAAAGGATATAACCATTGCAGCAGAACGTATTAAAAAAAACTAGAGACCATATCTTATCTCCTAATTATCCGATTTTAACGATTTTTTAGGCTATTCCATAAACTTTTAGAAAACCAGTGTATACTTTTTGAGTTATTCGGAATTTAATTTTACCATCCCTCGTAACTTTTTTCAGCTTCTTTTCACTGATGAATGTTTTATAGATAAATTTGAAGGGTGTCGAGAAAATGACTTCTATAGCTACGTTTTTCTGCATTTTTATTTTTTTTCTCCTTTATTAACTTATCAAATTCTTTCAAAAGTTATATTTAGCATTTTTTCGTAACTCTGAATAATGCGAAATAATTATCTTTTTAAAATAAACCATATTAAAGGTACTTTAGAGGAAGACGTATATAAACATTGGGCATTTAAGCCCTGTAAAGTGACATCAATGGGGATAAGACCTAATTTATATTAAATACCACTTAATTATACAATGATACACCGAGTTTAATCAAAATCGTTAGAGCCGTTTTTGAGAAAACTGTGAAAATGTGTTTCAGCGTTGATATAAAGTGGCACTTCCGGTTAGCCGATTTTAAGGAAAAAGTTGCCGTCACAACTAAGGCATATACCTATCTTAAATACGTGATATCAGTTTCATAGGACTTTTCGTTTTTGAGCTAGACTGCTAACATACAAACACACAGACCATTTGTCGGGACTTGGTCATTTCGACTCAGGGTACCTCAAAACGTATAAATCCGTCGAAAACTCAGATTCAAAAATTTTCTCGATCGCAATACTTACACTTACTATATATTACATATATACGTAAGTGAAAGTAAAAAAATATATTGCATGTACGTATATCGTAGTATTCGAAAATAAAATGGAGGATAAGGAAAAAAAAGATTATTGTAGTGCTGAGGTACTATCATCTCTATACTTTACTAGGGTGGCTGAAAACTGTATTCTCGAGAAGCTGTTCTTGTTGTCCATTTTGAGTAAAGTTTAGGTTGTGTCTGTTACAAAGCATAAAATATATAGCAAAAAATTATGTATGTATATATATATTGTATGTACGTATATATCGTATTTGTTCAATAAAATCGTTAAAAGCTAAGAAAAAGGCACAAGTTGCGCCATCAAAATTTTTGAGGGGGACTAATTTCGACGGGGTTATGAATTTTCGGACTTAGGAACTAAGGAGGAAACATAGAACAGAACACAGCAAGTGTAATTGTATCTGATCTACTATTTTTCTAATTTTATATTAGCTTGCTCTATTTTTAAGAAAAGGTGAGCAATAAAATATCTTGGGAGGAGAAAAGGTAGGTTCTTGCGTCATCGATCTTGGGGGGAGGGATGGCCACTTCTGCCCTGGAAATAGTTGATTTGTATTTTTCGTAGCCGTAGAATGGTTGCTCTCCCCTCATGCACCTCCCTTAAGTCTTTGCCGATATGAGTCCGTTGTATTGGCATTATATAAGACGTGTTATCCTAAAATGAAAAGGAATAAGATGAATGAAAATAAGAAAACATATTTGAAGTCATACTTATCAAGTGCTTGTATAATAAAAAAAAAAAGTATTTTTCGGAGATTTAAATGTCCCAACTAACTACCTGGTCTTGGTTAGGAGATCCTACTTCAAACTCTAGTCGAGGGCCCACTAACTGAGTCAGACATGGCCTGTTTTAGTCGTTTGAAAAGGGAATAAAAAACTATTATGGGATAAAAAACGTTAAATGAAAGTTGTAGAGTGCAGAATAATGCATTGTGAACTAAATATGCATTTCATTAATCAAAATAATATAGTTGTATAGTGTTTAAATGCATAGATAGTTACTAATCACTAGCGGATCCAGGATTTAATTTTGGGGGGCCTTCAGCCCGAAACCTTTTTTTTTTCATAAAAATAACGATAATTACTTTGGAAAAAAAGAAAGAAACTAACTACCTATATGAAATGGTGTTTATGTGATTCCTGAAGCCCTTTTAAATGTAATTACACGAGTAATAATACTTTGAGAGATCATTTTTTAATATTTTTTTTCTCCATAAACATGGTTATATTTTCCCATTTTGGGGGTGCTTCAGCCCGAAAGCTCCCCCCTCCCTCCCCGTAGATCCGCCCGTGGTACTAATGGAAAAAAAAAATCGTTTTCTATAAAAGATACAACTCATGCAATAAATGTTTAAAAACTTCGTGTATGATTGATATACAAAATTCATGTTTTTTAAAATTTTGCGATACAATCACAGAAACTTGATATTGGAGACACCTGCTGTAGCTTAACAAATAGCCGGATTTGTGATATGATTTAGCAACTTTTTTAAAAGCTTTTATGAGATACATTTTTTTCTTGACATGTTTATATTTAGTAGGTTTTTATTATGCATTATAATTTAAATAGAGAACATATTGTGATTGTACAAGTATTTAGCTCAAATCGTTCACCAAACAAATATGGAGTATGATGAATATAAAAAAAATATTTTTCTAGTTTAGTGGTGAGGGTGGGGGGGGGGGGAGCCAGTGATCGGTGATGACACCAATAAACGCTCAAGTCATAGTTACGAGGACATGTGTGTGGCTTTCTTTTTTTGGAATATGTGTAACTAAGACATTTAAATTTATATTAACAAATATTCTCCACTGCCGCACAGCAAGAATTGATAATTTAATTTTACTTCCATTTAACCTCATATTTTTCACTAATGATTGTGTTTAATTCATAAGCCATTTTAAGAAAGCACTGGGTAGTATAAATTATATGAGTTTTCAACTGAATATAATATCATTCAGACAGGAGTCTGTTAATTATAAACAGTTTATAATTAATTACTTATCAAAGTCCGCCATCCCTGAACAAATTTCGGGGTTGCCAGCACTATTTACCATGGAACTAGACAAAGCAAAGAAGATAATGGGAATATAATAAATAATATATAATGAAGTGGAGAATATAATATTGAATGGTCTTCAAAACAAAAGAAACCTCCTGGTAACTGCAAAATGAGCTTGACTGGAAAAAAGCTACAATGCCGCAAAACTTCAGGAAGTGAGAGATAAAGAATAAATTTCAGAAACTGGAAAATTTAACCCAAAACGAAAAAAAGAACTAGCTTCTTGCTTGGTGAATGTTTTCAAACCAGCGAATTTTCGAAATTTCAAGGAGCTTCGCAACAAAGTGATCTACACATTATCAGATTACCTAGAAGTTATGATGAATTAGTGAATCAAACTATGTCCGCATCAAGCTGAGCAGAGGTGTCCATTCCCTCAAGGTCGATGGCGCAAGAACCTCTACTCCTCCCAAGATATTTTATTGCTCACTTTTCTTAAAAACAGAGCAAGAATTCTATGGTAGAATTAGAAAAATCGCAGATCATATACAATTTACACTTGCTGTGTTATGTTCCATGTTTTTCCCCTTGTCCCTTAGTCCGCAAATTAAAAAAACCGTCAAAATATGTCCCCCTCAAAAATTTTGATGGCGTAAGTTACGCCATGAAACCCCTGAAGTTGAGTACCTTTATAACGAAACTTTGATTGGCTATTCCAAAATGTGATGCAAGCACTCCATCTAAGCCGCCCCTTCAATGGGAGACCAAAAAGTGAATGGCATTGACCAACTGCTCGCTTTCTGGTCAAATGTTATACAAATTTTCATTTGAAGTGTCATTTTTCTACATTTTGTCTTATTCCCTTCTATCATTTAATCATGATTAACAAAGTTATGGGTGCTACTATAATAAATTTGGTTGCTTTTGTACCTTTTTTCAAAGTAGGTAAAAAGTAGTAAGTTAAAGGTGAAAGTTCAAAGTATATAAATTGCTCAGTTTTTTTTTTCCTAGATATTTTTAGTTTTTATTCTTACAGTCTTTTGCACTGTGGCTGTCAATATATTGATTTTTGTTATTACACTATTTATAAAGCATGGTGTATACGATTTTATATTTATATTATTATGAATTAAAAATAGAGCCACATGGCTCATTCTATTTAATTTTTAATTCCGATAGTTTTTATTTTAGCTATTTAAAATGAACCGAAAAGAATTTGAGTATGATTGCGATTTTCGTATTACCCGAAATAAGAACTTGGAGTCTTTTTATCAGAATTTTTCCAAGTTTGATGTAAGTTAATTATACTTACGAATTACTGATAACTTGTTTCGTTGAATATTAAAAGCTTCTGTGAAGGAAAATAATGGTTGGGAATTGTATTTCATATTGCGACCAGAGTTATTCCGGAATATTGAAGGTATTTTATTAACTTACAAACCTCTCTCAAATCTAGTCAGTAACAAAGATTCTATACTTTAGGCACATCTGCGAGCATCTGGATCTGGAGGCTGCATAGTAGAAACGCCATTTTCGATTTTCAGGTTGGATCGCTGCGAGACAAAAAAAATTGTTGCACGCAATACACAACTTTCACTTACTCTTTGAACTTTGCTCAACTTTGAACAGAAATTTTTTTCTGACCATGTTAGGATATTATAAAATTTTTGAATTGCAATTTTAACCTACCTAAATCTAAAAAAATACAGCTAACAAATCATAAATACCATTAAAATAACAAAAGTCCTATTTATTAGATCACTGGTTCATTATGGATTGCACGCTCCGTTGATTATAGATTGTACGACTATTAGTTATTAAACTGTTATTTTCCATTGCTAAGTTTGCTAAAACGGAATTAAGAGATTTGCATTGTCTGTCATGGACAGGTCAAAAGTTGTCACACTAATTGTAAAATGGAATATCACAAAAAGAAATTTCATCAAACTATTCACTAATTTGATTTTCTAAAAGGTTACACGATGATTTTTCGGAATAAATGGACAATAGATACCTCAATATTTAAATATAATATCAGATATATAATTATAAAACTACAGTAAATGTATTTAAGGTTATAAACATATGCTTTATACATCCATGAAATGTTATATTTTACTTCTACTTAAACACAAGCACAATGAAATAGTTTTTTAAAAAATGTCATTGCCTTGATCAAGTGGATTTTGAATACTTTTTTCAAACTTAACAATATTTTAAGAATTTATATTTAGGTAGTAAATTTCATTTAATTTTCTTGAAAACACGTGATTTACGTTAAATATTATTAGTTTTCAAAAATTATTATTTATAATTTTTGTGCCACTCTCCATTACCTCCTACAACTTTCTATATTAGATATTGTTTTTTTCTAAAACTCTTCGCTTTCCAATAATATATTATACGTATAACTTCTGACTTATTTCCGGAGATTCATTTTTGAGCTGGATAAGCATTTTTAATTTTTTCTCCTTTATTCAATTATCAAATTCTTTCAAAAGTTATATTTAGCATTTTTTCGTAACTTTTGATAATGAGAGATAGTTAATTATTTGAAATGCACCATATTAAAGGTGCTTTAGAGGAAGACGTATATGAATATGGGGCATTTAAGCCCTGTAAAGTGACATCAACGGGGATAAGACCTACTAAATGATATTAAAGACCACTTAATTATACAATGATACACCGAATTTAATCAAAATCGTTAGAGCCGTTTTTGAGAAAATTGTAAAGATGTGTTTCAGCGTTGATATTAAGTTGCACTTCCGGTTAGCCGTTTTTAAGGAAAAAGTTGCTGTCACATCTAAGGCATATACCTATCTTAAATACCTAATATCATTTTCGTACGACTTTTTGTTTTCGAGCTAGAGTGTACACATACACACAGACCATTTTCAGGAATGGTTATTTGGACTCAGGGTACCTCAAAACGTGTATTTTCGTTGAAAACTCAGATTCAAAAATTTTCACGATCGCAATACTTACTATATACTAGCTGATGTACCTGTCGTTGGCGGGTGTATCGTCAGAATTTGAGAATGTTTTTTAAGATGGATTTTGTATTATGGAGGGAGGAGGGTCCAAATTCACCGACCACCACCGATCCATTAAAATTTAAGTGTTTAATTTTCATTTATCGATGAAGCTAGGATATTGTGGAGTTAATTAATTGATCAAAAAGAGTGCTGGCAAAATAACCAGAATAACATTGGACATTGAGTTACCTAAATCCGTGTAAAATTAGAACGTGATCTGAATATTGTAGCGGGGGGGGTGAAATTTTTGGAATTTTCCCCCCTGATTTCCGGCTAATCCGTTTGGTTAATCTTAAAATGTATAATACAGCATTTGTTAGGCTCGGGAAGTTGAATCGAATGACACCTTGAACGGAAAGATCGGACAAAGTTGAAAAATGGGTGTGTTTTATCCTTTTTATGTGGCAACGCGTTACAGATGTTCGGTATTCCGGATTTTTCCCGTTAAGTTTTGATAATTTTTTCCATCAGTTAAATAGTACAACTTTGGCTCGCGATAGAGTAGGTTGGGATTAGAATCAAAGTAACTGCATAACCGGGATCTCTAAACAAATTACTCAAGAACTCATAACTTTAGTTCTACTCAATATTTTGTTTTCATTTAAAGCCTATATTTTAAGTTAAGCAAACCTAAAGGTAATGTCAAAATTTCAAACTTCTACCATTAGCCATTGCTGAGCTTACCGCTGACAAAATTTCGTTGGGCAATGCGGACATCCAAACACACAAACAAATTTTTTAAAAGTGGATTTGGTGTCTATAATGTATAAAACTGAAAGATATCATGAAACAGGTCGATACTACTCAATGTACAGACAAAATCTTTATTTTATTTATATAGATTACATATATACGTAAGTTTAAGTAAAAGTCTGATGTGGATTATCATCTTTATTTCGAATATAAATTTAAGAAATAGTGAAAAATCAAAAAATTATCGATTGAGGATAGACATTATATTTGTATTGAACTTGGCGATCCAAGAAGATCCTGACAATTGAGTGTGGCACCTCCTCACTCTCTCCGATTTCCCCATTTTACCCTATACATGCTAAATATACTTGATGGTGACATGTGCGCAATTTGCGTCAACAAAATATTTGAAAGAGCACATAAAGGCGAGGCAGGGGAGGAAAGAAATGAAAAATGTATTATTTGAGATTGAGTAAATAAACAGAAAGAGAACACCTTTATTCAAACCCACTGCTTGAGCAGCGATCTGAGCTGTGCCTAAAGCAGAGGATTGCCTTCATTATGGCTTAAGCTTACAGTCTACTCATAGCTGTCTGTATACATGCTAATCCACCATGAAGGTTTTCCTACTGTCAGTGTTCTGGTGGAGCTCACTGATGATCTCTATGATCTGCCCAACGTTGGTATTAGTTGCATTTTTCCACTCTACCTTGCCATTGCTGGCATACAAGTTTTCAGCGGCTTTTCATTTGCTGGATAAGTACCTTCATCCAAGCATTGGTTAAATATGCTGACCAATTCCTTTTCTTCTAGGAGGAAGCTTTTCTTCCTTTTTTTCCATCATCAGGAGGTTGGAATTCAGTACCCATCCTCTTGTGGAGGTTTTCCATCACTAAGATACCAAATTTTTTACTTTCATTTACCTATATATGAAATATATAGTAAAGGAAAGTATTGCGATCGTGAAAATTTTTGAATCCCAGTTTTCAATGGAAATGCATGTTTTGAAGTCCCCAGAGTCCAAATAACCGAGTCCCGCAAAATGGTCTGTGTGTGTGTATGTGTGTTAACAGTTTAGCTCAAAAACGAAAAGTCGTACAAATGTGAAATTGCATATTTAAGGTTTTTATATGCTAGGGATGTTACAGTAACTTTTTTGTCAAAATCAACTGACCGGAAGTGGCACTTTATATCATGGGCTAAACACATTTTCTCGGAAATGGTTCTAACGATTTTGATGAACAAATACTGTTATTAATATTCATTATATCAGTGTTAAATTAAGCAAGTTTAAATAAGTTTTTATTCTGATTGATATTCTCTAACAGGACTTAAATGGCTAATTTTCAATATTAGCTTCTTCTAAAGTACCTTTAATTTTTTTAATTTAAATTAATTGACTATTTCACATTAATCTCGAATATAAAATATGAAAGAATTTGATCATTAATTAAAGAATAAATAAAAATTCATAGTGGAGAATAGTTGTAATTGATCCCACCCGATATCGAAATTCCCACATTGATGACAGTGATATAAAATTAAAATTTGTATATATAAGGGTACTGATACAAATAAAAATATCCACAATGAAATATAAATAATTATAGCGTCTATAATTTTTATTTTCACTTATCCTTTCTCTGAAAATAATTATTTCTGCCAAGAGGGTGGTAAGTGAAAGTTGTGTGATGCGCACACCACACCAGATTTTTTTTAGAGAGGTGTTGCACATCTTTGCTTCTTGATCCTGCCTTAGAGGGTAGGAGTTCTCTGTACTAAATCACACAAATATGGGAGTTGTTCATTTAAATATTTTTCTTTGAGTCCAATTTAAAATATACACAAAAAATCAATGGTTTGTTATAATTAATTTTAAAAAAATTGTATTGTTTTATAGGAAAAACACGCTGAAGCTATGGAAGTTTCACCTACCACTCCACCATCAGCATATCTTCCATCATTTTTACTAGGAGACAGTGAAGTATCAGAGGAAGCTAGGTCCAGAATTGGTGGAAGGGAAACGCACAATGTCAGTCCTCCTGGATTTAAAACTTTTTCACCAATTAGGACTGAATTCAATAGGTTAATAAATTGGATAAGTAATTTATCATATTTTTTAAGAAGTTTGTAAGAGCAGCAACAAAAATCTGAAAATAAGCATAAATAGAAGTAGGAATACTCACCTTGTTTGATCATGGGGTTACTCCATTTCAAATGAAAAAAAAAAAAAACATTTTGAAACCTATCTCACCAAATGAAATTTTAATAAGATGACATGTTATTATCATTATTTCATGTAAGTTATAATACCATTTTTTTTTTTATCTGTATAATAATCAGAATTTTAGATCTTACAAAAAAATGCTGTTTTTTTTTTTTTACACATTTCAATCAATAAAAGTTAGTTCATAGGCCTAATAGTAATGAAATTTTAAACAATCTAGAAATGGAAAATTTCTATGATTTAAGAACTTTTTTCAATTTTAAAAATTTATCTCATTACAGAAGTACTAAAGTACGTCTAAATGGACCTCCCACTCAAAGTTTATTTGATGAAACAGAATCTCCTACAAAATTGAACAATTCGGTCATCTCGCCTGGATGGGTTACAAGGTAAGACTGTTAAAACCAAATTAACAAAAATAAATAAATATATTATCAGTAGTATATTACTTTTTATTCATAATTGCAGTATTTATCTTAAAATTAAATAAAGTTTAGGAAGTAGGAGTGGAGGGGAAAACAGCTTCAAAGATGAAGATGGTCTCTGGGTTGTTGTATTTGGTTTCACACCTGCAGCTGCCTCTCATATTTTTAACATGTTTAACCAGGTAAATTAACTTTAAATTTTAGTAACAAATTAAATTTTTCTATTCAAATATACACCCAGATTTCGCTGTTAAAAACTCAAAATCAGGCAAGAGCTTAAAACTTTCAAGAAAAGTTTAAAAAAATGACTTGTATTAAAAATAATGGAACATAATCGTAATAATTTTGTAGTTAAATTCAAAAAATAAAATAAATAAAACACTGTATCGTTGATGTGGCTTAGTTTGCTTCTTAGGGGGGAGGTAACGTTGCTCCTATGCAGTTGTTTTGTGTAGCCATATGTGGACCGCATAAATGAGAAACACAAAAACCATGGTGGGGAAAGAGGAGAAAATATCTTTCGGCTACAAAATTCAATAATAGGATAAACATAAGTTGTTTGGTATTTCTTTCTTCTCGTGTTATTATCTGGATGATAGCATAATTCAACCTTTTAATACTGAGCTGTTTGTGGAAGAGTAAAGGTGACTGTGATCTGTGTTTTGTTCTGAATTTATCTGCGATCGTGAAGCATATATCTATTTGAGCTAATCTCGTTCTTTGTCATTATTTCTAAATATATCACTCACATTGACTTTTTCAACCAGAAATCGGTGATGTTCGACTCCAGTAATCTTGGTTTTTACAAATGGTGCTGAGTGTTCCGATTTGATTACTGATTTTTTACTTTTCATCATTCTTGCAATATCTATTGTATACATTTTTGATAATAATTTAAAATTTTAAGTTTTAATAAATCCTTTTAATTATTACTTCTCTTTAATGGAAAAGCTGTAAATTGCACTAATTCTAGATAGTGGTACAAACTTTCCACACTCCATAAATGTTCCACCACTATTTAAAAAAAAAAAAACTCACTATCAACACTAATGTGTAATCTGGTAGTTTTTTTTTATTCCTTTTAACGGGTGGAAAATGCATATTATTAAAAAGTTCAGAAACTGGTGCAAAGTTAACCATTAATAAAAATACACTCAATAATTTTAATTCGTCTCATTTCTTCAGGTTTCTATTACTGCATTAATCTTCTGAAACCTGTTCTTAGAATAATTTGTAATATTATTTTTAGTGTGGCCGTGTGGTTGAACATTCATATCCCCCCAATGGTGGTAACTGGATGATGATTCGGTACGAAGATAGAGCTGGGGTAAGAAAAGCCCTTGGATTCAACACAAGAGTTGTGGCTGGAAATATTATGCTTGGGGTGACGGAAAGGAGGAGAATTGTAAGTTAAAAGTTTGTTGTCTATGCTTATTATAAATCTACTCTTATAGTTGTTAAAAAAAAAAAAAAATTACTCTTTTGATTACTCCAATTTTAAGGGAATGATGCAAGTTAAAAACAGAAACCTATTTGAAATTATTACATTTCAATGATTTTAAATTATTCTTTTAGCACACCGTTTATTTTATAAGTTAGATTTCAATGTCCATCTTACGGGTAATGCATTATAAACATGAGTTATCAAGCTGTCTATCAGCTGATATTTAGAATTCTATTGCTTTTATATAACATGATTTAATGATTTTTTCAGCCAGAATTGAGAATCACAGAAGCTGAGAAAGAAATTGTTAACTCGAGTATAGTGACATCACCTCTCAACACCTCTCGCGTTAGGCATCTTGGCCCTTCTAAACAGCCTCTGGTATCATTTTATTTATTTATTAGTACTACTGTACATTGGTTATTATAAATAATTTAATTATGCTTTTTACAAAGGATAATATAGCCATATTGAAGTTTGGTACAGTTTCATTATCATTCTATACATTTTTGATTATTATGTGCTTTATAAAGGCATATAATATATGAGAGGGCATCTATTATAAGCCAGTCAAATTCTCGTTATGGTTAGAAAAATTAGATTAGTTATAACTTTTTGATGTTACAATAAATCCCATCACCAGATGTATACCTTCCTTTTTTAAGGAAAACTGCTAAGACAATCTCTGATGTTGTATTCCTCCCCTCCCTATCTATTTTCTTTATCAATGCTTCGTGGTCTTAAAAAATATATATTAAAAATTATTACTGTCATTCCATCATTATTCCCCTTTTGAGCATTCAAACACTACATAGGCATTTTAATAACTTATATGCTATTTATTAAATTATCTTAGATTTGTGTAGGCGTGTGTCATGTAACCATCTGATTTCTTCAGTCAATTTTTTTTTTTATTTTTCCAATGAAATGATTGGAAGAACGACAGTCTTTTTAGTAATTAATTACTTTGCCATTTCAAGAAAGTGTGCATGAAATATCTTTTTTATTAAATTTGTATTATATTTTCTATGTATATTCAATTCTAAAACTGCATAAACTCATATGTTTAATTTTTATTATTAATTAGTTAATTTTCTTTATAGGCACAAATTGACGAAAATATTCCAAAGAAAGATAATTCTGTTATGTCTCGTGCAATGGATCTTCTTTTTGGATGGTGATTTAAAGAACAAGGACATATGACTTTATTAAAGTTTGAGAAAACAAGAACTTGAAGTGATTGTTTTTAAGAATGTATATATATATATATATATATATATATATATATATATATACATGTGTACGTTATTTTGTTGTTATGGACTATTGTATTGTTATTTAAAATTAATATTGCTCAAGTTATTATTAGTGGACTGACCAATTAATCACATAATGTTTCCTTTTAATTTCATTCAAAGGAAGCAGAACCGCTTGTAGGCGGTATAAATTATAGCATAAAATTAAAAATAAAGCTAGCTTTTAATAGCTGGAACTGAAACTTAAATTAACTTTACAAAATGGAAACAATACCACATCATTGATAAAATAATTCAAACTGTATTTATTTAAGTAAAAAGATTATATAAAACTGTTTTTTTGTTTTTTTTATATTGACATTTATTTAGAAACGATCAGTCTTTTTCTAACAATGTAACATATATTTAACTAAACTCTTAACGCTAGTAATGCAATGATCTATTTTTGAGATCAGTGAATACAAAAATCAAAATGTTGATAAACTGAATACAATCATGGTGCTAATGAGAAATAAAAATCTATTTCAGTTGTTTACTGAAAACAACTATTTAACAAATAATTAGGATTGGTCAAGGTGCTTGTAACATTTGTAACAACAAAGTACATTATGTTTGTCTCTGCTAGTTTCTTCTAGTTTGTCAAGAATCAGTAAATCACTGATTGGTAATTTATAAGATACATCATTATTTGATATAACCTTTTAATATTAAAAACTTAAATATTAACAACTCACAGCCAAAATACAATTAAATGAAGGAACATTAAAACATACATAAATGGATTTAAACCACTTTGAAAATATTCTCTTTTTCTACTAAAGAAATAAGCTTAGCAAAATTTTCATATTTACAAAGAACATCTAAGTTACCAAGTATAATCAATTTTCTTTTGGCCCTTGTTACTGCCACATTCATTCGATTCCAGTCACCAAGAATATCTTTTCCCTAAAAAATTAGATGTCATTATATTTTAAATGAATTTATTATATTGCGTTAAAGATGTCATAGAAAGAGCATTAGCCAGTCAATTATTAATATAACTAAGCCATTGTATACAATTAAAGTTTAAATACTGTAAATATTTTAATGAAACAACCTTAAGTTGATCATAAGGAGCATCTTTTTTGCCAAATATACATACCGTAGACTGTTTGCACCTGGTTGTTGAAAAAATAATGATGTCCTTATCCCTTCCCTGATATTGATCAACTGTATTCACTTCTATACTATCTTCAATGGAAGACCTTAGCAGTAAAACCTGGCGGTTGTATGGAGCTATTACGCCAATCGATTCACCTTCCACTCCTCCCTGTTATAGTAAATGCAAAATTAATATTATTATTAACTTTTTTTTTTTTTGTAAATAAAGTATATTCAGTAATAAGTAAGTAAATGTGTATAGAATAAAATATATTCAATGATTAAGTCAAGATAAATGCAGCCTTACCATTAACAGTCCTGATTTTCATTCAGTAAAAACCTTCATATATCCAACAAGAACATTCAAACAAATAACTAGATGGTGTGTTAAATTTGTATTATAGTTGTTGTAAGTAAACTCAATCACTGATTTTAAAACTCTTTAATCTTCGCAAAAATACATAAACCCAAATTAGATAAAATAGTTTGATCACAACGCTTTATGGTAGGTTAGAGGCAAAGCAACAAAAAAGGGTACAAATTCTTTCTTCTACGGAGGATTCCAGAAATAAAAAGCTTGTTCAATATTGATAGAAGGGACAAATGGATTGAATCAGAGAATGATCAAGTGTGTTTAGTCACAATGCTTTGAAGCCATTTCATTCCAGGCAGTAACCTAATATAAATTCCCACAATGTTTCCAAGGTACTTTGGTTTTATCAAATCTCATTGTATGTGAGATAGTTACGCAAATTCATTAATTAAGCGTAACATAAATAAAAGTAAGGTTTTAATTAAGATTTACATGGATTTATTGATAGACAATTCTATATAAATTTATAATTCCATCTATGAGAAACTTGCAACCAACCCTATTTGGCACCTATCTTACTACCGAACTATGACAAAAGAATTTAATAATAAGTGTTTTTATCAAATTGATTCCTTACGATATTTATTAAAAACATTGTATTTTTAATTAATGTTTTTAATATATATTAAAATGCATCAATTTGATAAAAATATTTATTAAATGTACAAGTTTGAAATAATAAATCAAATTTAAAATATTTATTTAAAAATTAGAATAACTGAATATTTATTCGTATACTAGACAGGACACTTTCTATTTTGAATCTGAGAGTAAGATTATTGGAAAAAGAAAACGTACGTATTTCAGTAATAATTTCACATTTTATAATAACGAGCTAATATTATTAAGAATGATGTAGAGATGGTTGACCATGATATAATACGAGAATTGCACCCCTCGACCAATTCCTTCTCATAATATTATTAAGATTATAGGGGTCGCGGTCATTGAGTAAGTTAAGGCGCCTGCAAAAATTGTATGCTACGAGTTTAAACTCCATTCCCGGGATTAAATAACAAAAAAAAAAAACATGTAAATAATTAATAATAATATGTATGGGGACGGTAACGTCCCCGACTCTGGGACTTACAGACTTGAGAGCAACCACTGTGTCTAATAACATAGCTCCTTTGGTCCTCCAGACTTTGGGTGTTGGGCAAAGGGCTAATAACCCTATCCCGTAAAAAACAACAGAATAGAGACGTATGCAAAAGGTTGCCAACCATCCTGATGAAGGGGGAGTGATTGTGATCATGTCCGGTTATTATAAACCATGCGCTCCCTGGATATCATCTACATAAGAAGAGAATCAAACAATTACAGCTTATCGCCTAGAACAGCCCCAATGTTGCCAGAAGACTAATGGCGGAAGGCAAAAGAGTCAAGAGGCATTTAAAAGAAAAAAAAAAATTATACCAATAATAAGTCTAACTTACTTCTTGCGTGCTTACAAGGTTTTAGAGGTCAGTTACTGATATATAATTAAAACATTATCCTAAATTGGAAGCATACCTTTATAAGAGCATCAACAATCTGTGAAATGATTTTAGCTTCCTCTTGATTTTCAGTTGAATCAGAAGCGTCCTTGTTTTCTACATCCAGGATCACCACAGATCTTTTGAGATCTGTCACCAGAACTTGTTGCAACCAATATGGGGCTGAACTTGGAATACCCTATAAGATATTTATATTATCAGTAAAATAAAATTAATTAGGGCTATAATATAATATAACATTGTTACTTGTGACAAAATATTAATAATGGGGAAACTGTCTATTCATGTAAAATCTCATGAACAATAACTGTTACTGATTATTACTTATTTTAAGTTTCCCCTTTAGGTGTATTCTAAATTACTTAGGAAGAGTGATCTTAACAATTATTACCTTCGGCAAGGAAAGAGTTAGCTCTTCTGTTTCTTGATTGGCACATTTTAGTTGCCCCTTATAAGTTAAATTATTCGCTAGTGCATTAATTACTCGGTTCATCCTGTACTGTATAGTGAGCGGTGATGTAACAGCTGGTCTGTCCAACCGTTCAAATAGTGAAATGCCTAGTCCCAATTCTCTAACAAAATAAATACATAAAGTGATCAATAAATATCGAAAAAAACACACTGATTTTATGTAAATGAATACAATAATTATAAAATAAGTTTTAATTATATTATTTCATTATTTACCATTTTATTATATTATAAGAATAAATCTCTTACAAATTTTAAAACTGATTTTTTTCTTTGAAAGTTTAGCAAAGATATTTCAATCACATCAATTTATTTTTTCGGTATCAATATTTCTAAGTTGTATTTCCATTATCAAACCTTCCTAGTAAAACCCTTAACCATTAATTATAATGAAAATCATATTATAACTTAATTTAATACACATTAACACTCAATAATGCATAAAAAAATTGCCCTTAACATCAAAATAATATGTATTGCACCTCTTCAGTAATTATATTAAAATATCGAAAATACTTAAGTGACAAGCATTGTGGTAATATACCTGTTTGAGATAAAAATTTTTTTTCGAAAAGACTAAACAATTCAAAATCAATATTCCTTAAAGCTTCTGCTCTTGAAGTAGCAATAAATTCGAATTGCACCTCTCCTCTTCGAATACCTACTCCATTCCCAATCCGATTGATCACAAAATGCACTTAAAAACCTCAAAGTACACCTAGATACTCGGATTATTTTGTTATTCATCGATATTTCGTTCACTTAATTGCTTTCTCTTTATATTTTATATTACACATATTTATATCTTCTTATCATTTATAACTTTATTGTACTCCGAATCAACCTGTAAATATTAAATTGTATTTCATTGACACACCAAAATATTAATATATATTCTGTATTTGTGACTTGTTCTAAAGGGACACTAGTCCCAGAATAATAAAATTATTTTCATTCAATCATTACGTGAATGTCAGTTGATAACATTTTAACATCTTATTTCATATTTGAAGTATTCGTGGTGATTCCAGGAGTTTAAAAATAATTGCACAATTAAATTTTCTATAACTTAATTTTAAATTTTTGTAAGTTTTGACTTAGCACCTAGCTATATTATCAATAATGTTGGCTTAGAGTTCACTTTAATGAAAACCAGATCCATTTACCTCTCGCTTAAATTTGAGCAAATTCAGAGCTGTGATTTTTAATTTCACACCCACCTAATCATCACTAATTCCACCTATTTAACCATTGAGAATATCTTGACATAAGGACCATGAATATAAGAGGGGCATTAGTGGCTATCCATATTACCCAAAAAATTTAGGAACTCACAATGCTGATAAATATAAAGTAAACACCTTTTAATCCTTAACTATAACAAAACGTTAATTTAGAATTGGTGAAACTAATAAACTTAAATAGATATATATATATAAAAAGCTATGAAACAATAATATCATAACATCAATGACAAAAAATGTTTGTTTCTTAATTTTATTAATCTTTTACAACTTAATGTAATTACAAATGATTCGCAGTATTCAGGTAATTTTTTTTACATATTATTTTTGGTGTTGATGTGTATAAAAATGAATTATAATATGATGTTCAATATAATTAACTGTTAAATGTTTTATAAAGAAGTATTGATAATTGGGATAAAACTCCAAATGTTAACAAGTAGAAAAATAATTTGATGCAATCTTGGTCTGGAAGACCTTGTTTACTTAACTATTAAAGAAAAAAAAATAAGACTTCTGACAAAATTAAGAAGTAAAAAGCAATAATGATATTTTAAATAAAAAAAAAAAAAGCTTTCTAAAACTCATAAAATCATTTGCCATTTCAACATATTAAGTATCCCTAAGAAAAGATTACCTTCTGTATTTCATTATCAAATCCAATCTTGAGAGACCGAATGCAAAACAAAACATTGAAAAATTATGTTTAATATTTTTTTTATAAAAATAATCAAAAAATTTAAATTAAATGAACTAACAACCTACACCTACCTAGCTTTCTCGTTCAAAACTAAAGCAGGCAGCTGTTTTGGGTCACCAACAAGAATGAATTTTTTCGCAAGAGAAATTGGCTTCAAGACAGCTGGTAATGAAACTTGGGCAGCTTCATCAACTAAACACACATCAAAAATTTGCCTCTCAATCCACAGATGTTTGCAGCCGAAACAAGTCACTCCGACAACATTCTGTAAAAAAATGGATAATAAATGCCTCCAGTTCTTTTTTTTTTTCATACACTATAAATTTAGATTCCATAAAACATTAAAATAGACAATAATAACCAAGCTTTTACAAACGTGTGAATAAAAAAATGGGTAAAATTATCAAATATGGATTCCTAGACTTGCAAACCAGGTCCCAGCCCCAATTAATGTTCTTAGAATTTTCTCTAGGTACCATAATGATCTTTGAGTAGCATGATTTTCAGGAGACTGATCCTTCTGCTTGTTCTACAACCTATTCAGGAAGCTATTTCCTCTGGCAGGCCTCTTTTAAGAAATTTTCCTAGGGGCTAATTCCTTTAGATCCTCTCCTATTTCCTTCTCACCAAGTTAGACTTTTCATAAGTGAACATGAGGTGTCAACCCCTGATTGGCAACTTCGATTACCCACAATACAACTCCAAAAGATAAATAATCCTCTAGGATTTTCTTTTCTGCCAAGGTTGTATAGATGGAAAGTGATCCACAATTGAGCCAACAAATTTCTTTAACTACAGTTTCATCATTCTATAAGAACAGAACTAATCCCATTTGTTCTGGTACAATGTTTGAAATAAATAGAAAAAATATTAAAAATCCGCTCAAAACCTCATCAACAGCTTCCTTCATCTTCTCATAACCTGCAAATATTTTATTTATGAAAATTCCAGAAATTGTGGAATTTTCAATCTGGAGATCAGCAAAATTTGTCTATTTAATTAAGTACAAAAAACTCATGAATGTCCTTTTGCTATCCACTTCAATTGTAAGATAAAATGATCACAAAGTAAAAAAAAAAGGTGAAGACCACTTTTTTCTTCTTCCGACTTTTTGATCATATATAACAATTCAAGAGGAAACCATATGAGTATTCATGAGTGTTTAGTACCTAATTAAATAAACAAAGTCTCCAGATTGAAAACACCCCAATTCCCAGACTTCCCGCAAATAAAATATTTGTAGGTTACACTGAGAGCAAACTATTTACAAAGTTTTGGGCAGATTGTTAATAATTTGATAGAAAGGAGTCTGTACCAGGAATTACTACGGAATACAATTCGAAGAGAGAATAGTTTTATTAAGTAATATAAAACTATATAACTTCAATAGCAGTTAGAAATAAATGTGTTGAATATTTCCACTTTAAGTTTGATATAAGGAAAGGAGGGATTTGTATCAAGTATTTGATAGTTCTACAATAAACAAATAGAAAGTCTTTAGCTAGTTGATCATTGAAACAGAGAGAAACGGCCATCGGTTAGAAGCAAGTCAACTTTAGAATTATCTCTCATAACTACTGTTTTTTTTAATAATGAGCTAATAACAAAATAAATATAAATACAGATTTGAATGATGGTAATATAATAATGACCACACAATGCCCGTTAGTTCCTCCCCTCCTTCCTCCACCATTAGCAGTAGAGTACCATTACCAGGGTAGTATGTAAAAGTTCTGTGGTGTCACTATAGTAAATCAGTTATATAGAACATACTATTATTATAGAATAAAACAAAACAAACCTTATCTGTAAATAACTTTTCAATATTTGCAGTATTCACTTCCTTCAAAGACTGCAGATAGTAGTTTTCTGTAAATTCCTTCAGCTTTGGATGTACCCTGTACTCAGGACCTATTCGAAGCATCTTGACCTTGCCAACCTGTACATATTTATCTGGATTAACAAATGAAGATATTAATTTTCACTATCTAATACTCAAGACATGGTGAATATTTTCTTTCTTTTATTAATTATTATCAATCCATTATTATTTATTAATTCATTATTATATTAAGTGAAAAATTAATTTATTCAATTAAGGTAAATGTACCGGTAATTGACAATTGAAGAGGTATTTTCAGCATTAATGTGAACTACAGCTTCATTTTCGACAGTGGATCTTTGCAAATTGGTTTAATTTACAGAAAATTTAGTATTTTATCAATTATATTTTTTCTATACAGTCAATTAGTTTATTTATTATTTCATATAGAACAGAGGAAATTCTGACATTGTATATTGCAATAAGTTGAAAACTGTCTATTATTGGTACATTAAAATTTACATTTAATTACATTACATTAAAATTTCACTTACTAAATTTATCAAAATATTGTCAACAGCAGAATGTGTAAAACTTGTAACCAACACTTTTAATCCCAATCTAGTCAAAAGTTCTATAAGAGCAGCCATAGTAGTGGTTTTACCTATTTGAAAAATAAATACATAAATAAAATTTAAAACAATAAAACCTTGATTTAAAATAATAGAAATATGCTACTTAAATCCTAAATCAGAATTGGAATTTTTTAATTGGTCGGCTTCTGATAAAATGATCAATAAGGCTTGGGAATAAATCTTTGTTGGTAAGTGGGGGCCTCATGGTCCTTTTTGCCAACCCCTGACGGCTAACCTGATGTTGCTCTGCCCAGTACTTACCAGGATGGGAATATCGAGATTCATTTCTCCAGGCTGGCTAGAAATAAATATTAATTGACCAATGTGGGTCACACATCAGGACATATCTCTGTTTGATAGTAATTGTTATACAATTACTTTTTTTGAGAACCCAAGGCATTGCCAAAAATATGAGGCAAAGATTGTACACCAAGGAGGCTCGACTTGCTCTGAGGAGGGATATCATCTGATGATTATATAGAACTAGTAGTTGAACAGGAAAGTCCTTAAAATGCTCAGAAGTATAAGAAATACTCAGAGAAACAACTTCGTTGCTATTTGCTTTTAACTCTGGTATTAATCCTCTGTCCCCGCACCGCCTGTCCCGGGAAAACCCCATATAGCCTATAAGGCGAGGAAGAAAAGAACAAAAAAAAATAAATAAAAAAATATGAATACAAATGTATATCCACTAGTTCTCATTTTATTACTGATTTTTTTTTACACAGAGAATAAAGATAAAAAATGATAAGGTCGTAATGCTGTCCCATTTAATTTCACTTTTTAATAAACTTATTTGAGTTTAAAAACAATTTCAAACAACTAATTTAACATATAAGATATAGCTTTATAAATATAATTATAGCTTTGAATTTTCTTCATAATATTATACGTTAGTGGAAGGTAGCTTAGAGAACCATGAGTGAAAAAAATAAAATGGTGGAAAAAAAGTTAATATTCACATTGATCACTCCGGAACTCCACAAATCAAAATTATCTATTTTTTAACATTATTTTCCATAAATTTATAAATAAAACCATTTATAAATAAATTGTGGGTTGATGGTTGACTCTACTATATAATTGAAATGGTTGGGGTGATTGGTCAAAATAAAATAGTAAAAATAAATACAATTATTTATTTTTACTATATTATTTTGACTGATCACCATAACTATCCTTCTCTTCTATAAATAAAATCATACCTGCACCAGGCATTCCTTTTATTAAGATGTAATTTTCAGCAGAAATAGCTTGCAAGACAGCCCTAACCTGTTCTCTGTTCAATCGAGCGAAAATATCTTCTCCGATACGTTTGATTTTGGAACTTAGCTTAGCAGAAAATGTGGGAATCTATAATATAAAATACAAAATAATAAAATAAAATTATATAGCTGCATAAAGTTGCCATATATTAAGAACTGTATAATTATCTTTCAATTATTTTATATGTATTATTTCTATATTGTAATTACTACATAGAAGATCAAATTGAGCATTTTCTATAAATAATTAAATATCAAAACAAGAATTAGTTGAAAGAGAAAAACCCAAAGAACAGAAAAATTACTAACTAGTCAACATTTTGACAATGCATGTTTCATATGGAGTGATTAGAATAAAATAAAATAAATACAAACCAAAACCGAATATCTCACACCCACAACCCAAGCAAAGTGTTTCATCTGAATTTATAAAATCTTGATTTGATTTACAATCACCATTGGAGATTTTTTATTTTGGTCATTTGATATTTTTTTTAAATAATAAATTTGCAATCTATAATATTATACTGAAGGAGAAGAAAATCTTCAAAATGATAACTCAATCATTGGATTTTATGAAGAATTAACGAAGATATGGCATACTGACAAAAAAAACACCTTTGAGAAATAAAATAAACTCTACCACTCTCATTCATAGGAGCCTAGTCGACAACATGACAACATGTATCCCATGGTAGCACTACAAGAAAGAAGATGATGGAGAGAACCATGACTCAGTGTCTGCAGTATCCATTCAACCAGCAGTTCACTCTCAATCAAATTGTGAAAGCAGACCAGAATACCACTAGTCTAATTAGAGCTACCACTGTCGAAAAAAAGTACAATCACATCTGACCAAACATGTATATTATTTTATTATACACGTTGATAAATTGTAGGCATATTGTTTTGTTTATTCTATCTCAGATCCTTCACAAAACCATTAAACCCTCAGCTATAGATAATAAATACTTCATTTGATTAATATAATAATAAATTTTCTTTTCTGAATTTAATGAATTCAAAATGCATATAAATAGCAAAATAATAAATAAATTAACATTATTAATAAGATTTAAAATAATATATTTTAAAAAAAATTAAAATTACTATTGCATACAAACAGAGAGTGGAGAGTAGTAAAAAAGAAGGAAAATGGTCCATATTGACAAAGCATAGTTACCTTTAAATCAATTATTAATTCCCTAAGTGCAGCAGATCTGTCATTATTTTCCAACAAAATTGTAAGGTTGTTCATGAGGATGTTATAAGTACTATCAGAATCGTATAAATCAATTGTCATTACTTTATCGCTTTTAAGGTGCCTGTATGCAAAACAATAATAAATTAATAAATGATACAAAATTAAAACAAACACAAAATGTAAAACTGAAAACAATACAACCCATGTTCTTAGACAAACACAATAATTGTTATTTTAGCAGGGGGATATTTAAAAAAGATTATTTTTGAATGCACATACCTTTTTTGTATAAGAATTTTTTAAATGGATTTCTAAATACACTAGATATCGATTCAAATTACTTTGAAAGGAACAAGGTACCTACTTCATTATAGCCAATAATGGTTATAATGACCACATTGCTTTATATCTGATGTCAATAATGGATCATAGTAACTGTGATTTAGATTTGAATTTATTGTTGTTGAAACCAATGTTGTTAAAAACAATATCCAGTGAATTATATGCTTAGCAAAGACGAAGGTTCGATGCCGACACCACCAATCGCTTATTACACACCTCCCTCCACTGATCACACACCTTGCCGTCCAAACCCAGTCTCTTCAGATCGGCTTTAAAGCAATCTCCCCACCTTCGCTTCAGTCTACCACTTGGACGTTTACCATTCGGTACGGCAAATAATAAACTTTTAAGAATTCTTTCGTTACTAAGCCCAACAATTTTACAAGCCCATTTGATACGCCATGATGTAATCACCTCAATTATATTAACCGGATAAAGTTCACGCAATTCAGCATTGTGTAACCGCCTAAACTTTCAGGTTAACTCATCCTTCTTCAGTCCAAATATTCTACGCAATACATTACTTTTAAAAACCTTAAGACATTGTTCGTTCCTTAATGTAAGCGCCCACATTTCGCTTCCATAAAGAACTGTAGGTAAGATAATGGTTTTATAGATTTTAGTTTTTAAATTCAGGGACAAGAGGCACGAGCTAAGCAGTTTTCTAATCGTTACAGAAAAATAACAAACATTTCCTGCCTTCAGTTTAACCTTATTCTCCTCTTCAATTTTGTTTTTTCTAGTTATCGTAGACCATAGATACCTAAACTTCTCTACGTGTTCAAATATATTACCTTCTATATTGATATCACTGGCAATATCGCCATTTTTGCAGCTAACCATATATTTTGTCTTATATGCGTTTATTTCAAGCCCTAGTTCTTTACTGGTTTCCAATAACATTTTATAGTTTCCGTGTCTTCGCTTAACAGGACCAGATCATCCGCATAGCCAAGCACAGGTGTTATCCCACCCAGATTCAATCCTTTTTCAGTATGCATTAACTTTCAAATGGCATGTCCTAACGGCAAATTGACCAGAAGAGGTGAAAGGGAATCACCTTATTTTAAACCCAAACGAACCTTAAGCTTTTCGGATAAATAATTACCGATTCTAACTTTATTTACTGTTTCCGTCAAGCACATTCTGAATAGATTTACTAATTTTTTAGGAATCCTCTGCTCGATTAGAATATTATACAGTTTCTGGCAGTCAATAGAATATGATCAATAGTCCAACGATTTCGTCTAAATCCGCATTGGTAGTCTCTGATAATTTCCTCAGCATATTCCATGATTCGGCTAGTTCAGATTAATGTGAATATTTTATAACAACTTGGAGGATTGAAATTCCTCTCCTTCCTTATCCTTGATCCCTACCCATAACTTGTCTATATCATCGTGGTCCTCGTCAGAAGGTTCTAACGCTTCAAATCTATTCTTAACATCTAGCTTGAATTAAGTTCTAATTGATGAATTTTTTAGTTTTTCCAAAATAAAATTTTCGATACAGAAACAATTTTCTTTTCTCTTTTTTATACTAAGTTTTTGTAAAAGTTTCGCAATTACTAATGCATAATCTGACCCACATTCTGCACCGCAATAAGACTGTACATTAATTATACTGCTTTGCCAGCTACGTTGTATCAAGACATGATCGATTTGATTTTGTGTTTGTGAATCCGGTGATGTCCAGGTATATTTATGAATATCCTTATGTTTAAACGTAGTACTTTTTATTATCAGGTTTTTCGAGATGGCTAAGTTTATCAGACGGATCCCATTATCATTACTATATTTGTACAAACTTTCTTTATCAATCTTCGGAAAATAAACTTCTTCCTTCCCCACCTTTGCGTTTGCGTCACCTACAATTATTTTCATCGAGTTTTGCGGTTGTTTATCATAAAACCATTCGAGTTTATTGTACAATTTGCGTTTGACTTCAGCCTCACTGTACTCGGTCAGACAATTTATGTATGTAAGGGCAAATCAATTAAAACAAAAGTATTTATATCTACCATTGGATGGACAGAATCATTAAACAAAAATCAATGGGAACAAAGTTAATAAATAAATATTAATTAGCTTAAACTAACTTATCCAACATGACAGATATTGTCATTGGTGAAATATCTTGAACTTTTCCAAGAGCTTGAGCAATACGGTTTTCACTACTAATAATAATTAGTTGACCTGGGGTCAATTCCGTTTCTAACAAAGAGCCATCAGTTTTAGAAAATGTGACTATAAACTGTACACCATCAGCCTTCACACAAGAATCAACTTTCATCTGAGCCAGGCATTTACCAGTCTTTTCTCTGAAACAATACAATTCAATAAAGAAGTAAGGATAATGAAATAGAATTTAAAAAAAAGTTATTATTTTAAAAATTGTTAATATTCATAATGTGCAAATGATGCTTTAATATATTGTAAATTGTAAATGTTCTAAAATATAATGGGGGGAGGAGAGTGTTGGTTAAGATGAATAAAACATAACACATCATCATATTGCATATTTTTTTCAATGTTTCAACCAACATAGTAAATCTTAATCAAGGCTAAAAGCATTATGTATAAATTATTATGAAAATTAAATGTATACCTAGCAACAGACAATATTTTTTAACATTATTATGTAATAAATATATATTTTCTATTTGAACATTCTGGTCACATATTTACACACCTAGTATATTTGAAAATTCTTATTGTCATATTGCACTAAATATGAAATAAAACTGATTAATATTTTGAGCTCATTAAGCAATCGTTCATTTGTGAATTTATAATTTTTATATTTTTAAAAAGTAGCATTATTAATTGAACAATATAAAACATCTTGTAAACAATATAAAACAATATAAAATTTATCTACTCAGCTCAATTATACAAAAAAAAAAAATATAAATATATATATCCTTCAAGAAGTCAGTAATTTATACTGAAGTCAAAATCATTTTAAAGAATACTTCAGCATCAATACCTTATTTCTGAATCAACGGTCCAAATATCAGAAAGACTTGATTTCGAAGATCCTTTTTCAAGAAATATAAGACTCACCCAATGAAATACAAATTTGATATGATTGTCAGATAGATGTTTAGTCGCAACAGATCCAAATTCAGAAAGCAGATTTCCTTCTTTCAATTCACTGAGATTTTTTTCCCTAAAAAGAGAAAAACTGAAATTTACAAAAAACAAACACAAATTTAACAAAATAACTAACTAAATGCCTAAATAGTGCTACGTTACATATTTGACTCTGGATGTCATACACTGGAGGTTCAATTTCTATATAATGCTTTTGAAGATTGTGGAATCAGGTCCAACCCTTCAATGCAAATTTTAATTGAGCAGATGATAGAAATAGAAAAAAAACTTTATTCTGGGAAAAACTTTAAGGTCCCCAAAGAATAACACAAGGTTTCAGAACAAAAGAAATAATTTTGGCCAGAAGAACTACATTAAATAGTTAATAATCCAAATATTAGATCAATAAGTTTTTCTTTTTTCCAAAAACCGTAAGCTATTCCTATATACCCAACTAAGATAAAAAATTATTTACTATCACAGATTACTATTTTCTGTTTCTTTTAGATATTGAAGACCCTACAAATTCTAACTTTAGATCACTGAAATAATGACCATTTCCATAATCCACATTTTTATTCTGCCTGGATTTATTAAAAGGCCAAATTCTTCACTAGCATTCAACATGGTATTTATGTAACACATATCTATATATTTTTTATATCTTCTTCTCCTCCCCAAACTTTATATCCACAATGAAATAACATAGCAATTTAGAGCCAAAAATCTAGGGCCAAGTGGCATTGCCATATACTAAAGGATCCATGATTTGCTTTTGGGAAGGCTTCATTCAGCCTGAAAGTTTATATATATATATATATATATATATATATATATATAAATTACTTTGGAAGAAAAAAGAAAGAAACTAACTACCTGTAGGAAACGGTGTTTAAGTGATTTTTGAAGTCATATTAAATGTTGTTATACAAACAATAATACTTTTAGAAACGGTTATATTTTACCGTTTTGGGAGGTGCTTCAGCCCGAAAGTACCTCCCTCCCTGTGAATCCACCGGTTACCATGGAAACTTTAAAAAATACTTTAAAATTTAACAACTAATGAAATTATAAAATTTGAAATGGAAAATTAATCAAAAATTATAACTACTTGGTATTTAAACTAATGGCATTAAGTAATTTATCCTACCTCAATGCAGCATAGCATGGGATGAGGTAAGGACAAGAGGAACATGACTTTCGGTTAATAGGAGGTGGAAGAGGGGGGAAGGTTAAGTTGTCTGCATCTTCAATGGAAGTAGATTTAATAAGCCAATGGCACAGGCCATTTCTTAGTAATGTCAGATCTCTAACTTCCTTCTCTTCACATTTTATCTCCTTCATTTCAACTCCAGAACTAAAACAAAATAAATATAATTATTCAGATAACAGATGATCCCACCCATTTTCAAGAAGTTTGGAAAAGGTGCAATAATTGTTTTTTTCAAAAGGACAATAAGAAATTAAATAGTAAAAAATATGAGATGAATAAATTATCTATTACTATTTTTTTTTTTTTTAATTGTAGTTATTAGGTTCTCATAAAACTTAATAAATGTTTTCATTTTAAGCAACTGACAAAATCATGGCTGTACAAGAGGCAGCCTGATTTTTTTGTTTTTTAAACTGAAAATAAGTGCATTGAGCCTTATTAACTAAAATTAAAGATATGATATAGAATAGAGGAAATTAAGTTAATCATTGTTTAGGTACACATTTTTGGGCAATAATTTGATAAAAAGGGGTCTATATCGCAGATTCAAAGGACGAAACATTATCTATGGATATGGGATATGACTAAATAGAAGTTTTTTATTGTTGATAAAAAAGTTTCATTGTTTTCATATCTTTTTTGGGATGAAAAAATGGAAGCTATTTTGTTAATTATTAGTTAATTAACTTTTTAGAAATTAAAATACACTTTGATGTAGAGATGGTTGACCGTAGATATAATATGAGAAGGAGTTAATTGGGAGGGTGCGGTCAAATAAATACTAAATTAAAATATAGTAATTATTTAATTTTTGCCGACAACTTCTTCTTATTTTATATTTTCAACATGTTTTGTATCTTTTGTAGCCCTGCAGACGACCTGCAAAATGGGTTGAAACGTCGGCAAAAATTAAATAATTACTATATTTTAATTTAGTATTTATTTGACCGCACCCCCTCCCCCATTAACTCCCATTCAATAGTGGATTAATTAATAATTTTTACATTTAAATAAGTTATTGTTAATAAATTTTACAGGTAATTATGTGATGCTTTCAAGTTAATCTGTTTATTTTTATATAACTCCACTTATCTGGTATTATCAATCCCGATATAGGGCCTAAATAAATAAGATTAGTGAGATTCTACTGCACATTTACAATATACAAAAATAATATGTTAAGATTCAGACACTAAAAATTCAGAGAAACTAAAATAAATCGCCTAAATTAATTTAAACCAACCAAATTTCTCACTTTATTACCTTAAATACAAAAGAAGGCCAGAGTCAACCAAGTATCCCATTTGTTTAAGAAGCATACAATAAAGAATCACTTGGCCTCTATGTTCTATGCTAAAAGAAACTTTACCAGTTTTTAGTTCGAGAGGCATAGTCTGAAAAGAAAGAAAGATATAACTAATTTAAACCAAACTTTATTATGTATAATAAAATAAAAACAATCTAAGTTAAAAAAAATGACTACAGACATAACTCTGCCCCGAGGAACAGAATATACTTCCATACTTACTTAAAAACATAAATGGTTTGTTAGAGAAGTTGATGTCTAAATAGGTATAGTAATCAGATGTCTTTCACACCCCAACAAAACTCAAGAATTTTCTGCCAAAACATTAATTTATTTTCTACATTTTTACATGGGCAGATGCTAACTTTCTGTACTTAGACATATACAAATGCAAGTACATTTCAATTTTAGATTTTTGACTATCAATACTTTATATTCATCAAATATAAAGAGGAGCATACACATGATATAATATGAAACAAACAAAAAATCAATACTTAAAATATTCTTTTAATATTATGAGCTCTATTTGTTTGAAAACACTTACAGGATCTTACTGAGTAATTTAGGACATCAGAATTTGGCTGACTTGCTTGCTCAAATAATCTAATGTAACTGATTAAGATGAGACCCATAGAGAAGCAAGGTATACTATAAAGCAGAAGTCTCTTAACTACAGCCCGCAGGCCAGATTCGGCCCACAAGCACCTTTAATTCATCTCGTTAGGTTTTTTATTACATGGTAAATAAAATTTTAAAAATATTAAACCTAGTAATTTCCCCAAATACAAGTTTACTTCATCTTTTATTGCACGATTTGTTGCTCTTAAAAGTTCATTTCACTACTGACATGTCATTTATAAAACAAGATTTTATTCTTTCATCACAAGCCGTGGTCCGAGAGACTTTTCGGAAGTCTCAATATGGCCCACAGGACTTAGTGGAGGTTCTAATGTAAGTCCTTCTATAAAAGTACATCTGATTGTTTCGACAGTATTTACAGCGAACCATCTTGATAAAGATTTACTTTTAAATGTGAAGTAAGCCACATTATCAACAAATATACAAACTTTTTTTCAACAATTTTAACAAAAAAAGTAATAAATGAAAAATATTTTTCTTCATCCATTGGCTCAACAGATCATTGATGGTCCCTTGTCTTCTCTAATAACTTCCACTAGTCAGCACGTCATTGAGCAACTGTTCTTAAAAAAAATAAACTTGTAGAGAACATAAAAAAGATGAACTCAATGAATAATCAATCTCAGTTTCTAGGAGATTACTTATTTTTTTCAATAGCCACCCCTCCCCCCCCCCAAAAAAAAAGAAAATATCCTTAGTATAAGTTAGTCAACATATTTCCTTGTAATAACACTATTACTGGATCAATGCATAGCTTATTGTCTTTAAGGCAACGAAGAATGCTTTCATGACAATTTTGTACAAAATAATGAATCAGTAACTGCCATACATTTTTCGTCAATTTGTGAATATTTTAGACAAATCATATTTAATTTTTAGTATATGTATTTCTTAAATAAATAAAAAATGTTTATAACAAAAACGATATAATTTCAAAAACACTCGACTTTTCTGCTCACTCTGTAGTTTATTACCTTGACTTTATTTCGAACTTGAACTCTCACTGTAGCATCAACTTTCCCTTTTACACCAAGAACAGGAGAATAAATATTCTCTTCGATATCTTGAGTTTCAATGATTTCTCCAGACCAATTATTATCACTAAAAAATATGCATACTATATTAGCAAGTATCTACATATGAGACTTATAATTCCTAAGCCAAATAACTGCATTTCCAATTATTTTAAATTAAGTTTTGATATGAGGTCATAAGGTGAAAGAACTTGCTCCATAAACAATTCAATCAAATATGATTTAACTGTTTTTGAACAAACAAAATTAAAAATGGAATAGACTGGTTTTGTGATTGAAGGCATTTATAAATTATAATTTGAAAAAAATAACTTTATGTTAATTTGTTGAATCTATTGTTAGTTTGTCTTTTTTATAAAAATCAACAAATGAATTTTACTTCTTTGTTGTTTACACAAAACATAACATACATTATACACATCTTTAGCTCAATATCAGTCCTATTAGCTCAATACCAGGAACAAACATCAGCATATTTAATTATATATAGGTATAATTTTTTTTTGAGGACTCACAAGAAATAAAGAACTTACTTATCTGAATTAGAATATCCAGAAATGTAAATTTTCATGAATTTATGAATATGTTCTATGAATGAATAAAGTTTATTTGTGATTTCTGCATAATCCATTTTTTCTAAAAACATGTTTAGTATAAAATCTTTGCTACCAATCATTCTTTTATATTCCTTTTCTATTTCTTCAATACTAAAATATTTTTGTTTTAGAGCCTAAAACACAAACACATGGTAATTAAAGGGACAAAAAAAATGGCCAAGTTTCTTGTAATCAAAATAAGAATAAAAGTATTTTAGTATAAAAATTTATAACCTGGGGTTGAAACTTTTATGATTTTTTTTTTTAAAAGTGCTATTTTAATAGTTGCAGTGAACCTGTAAGGAAACAATTTCTTAAAATAAAAGTTCTAAGAAACCTTTTATGAGATAAAGTTGTTGGTTTAAGGTAAAAGTTTAACAGTAACTGTAAAAGTTTATCTGAAATAAATTACTTGATTCTAATGTGTTGTTTGTTTGAGTATCTAAGAATAAAAGTTATTTTTTAGATAGACTTTTTGGCAAAATCAAAAGAGAATTTAAATAAAAGTTGTTTTAAAAGTTAAAGTTCTGTAACATATTTTTTTGTAAGCTTATAGGACAAAAATTTCTAGTTCCGAAATAACTGAAAAAAAAAAATTGCGAATAATGATTCCAATCATACCAAAACTGATTAAAAATAGAAAATTGCATTTCAAAGCCTGTTTATAGTCACAATAATTGTTCGATTTAAAGGCCAATCAACTAAAAGATAATACAAACTAAAAAAAAATGATGGTCAGTATAGTAAATGGTAATCTAAAAAATATTAACATTAAATGTAGAATATTATTGTTCAAATAGGTTATATTTTAAAGAATATCCTATAAAGAGGATAAGAATGACTGAAGATATTAGAAAGACTGGGGTCATGGGAATGATCTTATTAAGCAGGTATTGATTGAGCTTTATCAGTTTAAATGAGATCATGTACGTTTTACTAGTTTCATCTATAACAGCTCAACCTTTATAAATTTCTAACGATTTGATTGTTTAGCATTATTTTTTTCATAAAAAAAAAAAACTTTAAAGAGTTACCTCTTGAAAAAGTTGATGAACACTAGAACCAAGTACCATTGGATATCTAGTTCCTCCACCTACTTCTTTAAAAATATGAGAGAGTATAGTTTTACGCATACAATAAACCGAACCAACAATAGTTGTGCCAGATATCAGCTTATCAGGACTCGTTACAAGCAAGCCATTCCAATCTACAATCCAGCCTTCAGAACTTTGCACACCTTTCACGCTGATAATATCTTCAGGGAAAATGGGACAATCATTCCTAAAAAAAAAAAGTGATAACGATTTATGAAAAAAAAAAAATTAAGTATTTAAAAACAAAAAAATAATATATTAGCTCAATGCTTAATTATAAACATACTGAACAGCTTTAAATATTAAAATAAAGAGCAATAATTAGAAATTTAAAATGAATGAGCTCATATAATGCCTAATAGGTCAATAAGAATAGCCTTCTATTTCTTTTTATTGTTTTTGTTTACTTATTCTTGAATTATGATTAAATTAAACTTTGAGACAAATGAAAAATTATATTTTTATAAGCAATTCTTGAGGGTAAATTGATATTTAAATTTTGTGTTTATTATGATAAAACAAAGGACTTCATACTCCTATATAGGGCATACATGGACCATAGGGACGCATATGAGATCGCAGATCCCCCGCACATATTTTCCCAAAGAGATTTAAGTTCTGAAACATAATCCATTGATGTTAAAGTACTAACAAAATTCAACCTAGAAATGAATAATGGATTTTTGTTATCAACTTCCAACTCAGTGTGCCAACTATCACCAAAATGAGCAGGTTAATAATTCAGTCTCCTTTACAAGACGCTGAGGCAGACTTAGTTTTGTTTTTACAATAGAAGAATACATGTCAAACGAAACCTTATAAGTAACAGTGTTGATCACAAAACTATCAAACTTATTTATAATGCTATTAGACAAGGTAAGTTATAATCTAGTACATAACTAATAATGAGCCATTAGATATTAAAAATTATGTTGTAAGTTATCTTATGTTCAACCAAACTTGTTATTAGCCTCTTGAAAACCTAAACAAATACTCTGAGCAATCGCCAGTACGGCCAGAAAGAGAGAAGATTTTGTTAGATCAGTAGGTTCCTTATACTTAGATGTGACTTATAACTTCATCATAAGCAAGTATCTATAGTATAAGTAAAAAAAAATTGACAGTGATGTAAAGGAAAGGGAGATAGTTTAGAGGGTTTAAGGTACTACAAAAGTAGGTCCAAAGTTATTTGTTAAAATTTCAACAATTCCTAAGAAAAAGTATCCCTAACCAGGATATAGTATATAATTCCTATCAACAAGTTAAAAAAACAAAGCTTATAAAATATAAAAAATATTTCATGTATCACAGTTGGCCTATAAAACAGAAGATAAAATCAAAAGGAATAATAATAGATTAAGCAATATAATAATGTGAATAAGAATGTGGATTATTGAAAAAACAAGCAGGTTAATGGATTTCTCATATTTGTCAGATTTCAGGCAATTATTTTCATAATTTCAATGATTTTACAAAAATAACGTATTTTTTAAACGATTTTTTATAAAACTAAATACAATTGGTATGCTTTCAATATTTTTTTTTTTAAATAAGTAAACTAATAATAGAAAATAAACTATAAATTTAGTATTAAAATAAAAGAAAAGTAAATAAACAAATGATGTATTAAAAATGAAAATAAAATACCAGGGGCTTTTCAGAATACATAATCCAATGCTTTTCTGTGTAAGATTTTTCAGGGAAAGATGCTTTTCTCCATTATGACCTTCACTTATACTCAAAACTTGACATCTCTGTAACTCTTTTAAATCAAAATTCCTTAAAAACAAAAAAAGTATTAAAATATGAACAACTAAATAATAATTAATATTTCTATCAAACAGCTAACTCACTTATATTCTTCATCAAATGAAGAAGTTTTAAAAAATGAAGATATATCCTCATCATCAAAAATTTGGCTTGGTTTTTCATCGTTTGTTAAATCTTTAAAGTTTAAAGTTCTTTTTGAAGAGCTTTCTTCGAGAAGACATTTTCTCCGCTTAACTTTAATTTTTTGTGGAGAAATAATGATTGAATCTTCAGCAAGATTGACTAAATCAGCATCATCTTTTTTCTCATCAGTTTGATTATTTAGCTCAGTTGAACAGTTTCCAGAAGCTGAAATTGAAATTATATAACGAATCAAACTTATCTAATGTTATTTATTTTAAAATTATCTATGGAGATATTAACTATGACAGCTACATTTTAAACATAAACATATAAGTTGCTTTCATGAAAATTCGTTTTTTTTTTTCTCATTTATCCCCAGCTTTGCCATTTCTGGTATAAGGGAGAGGAGGGGTTTGTTCTAGAGGTACAACCAAATCTATTCTAACCAGAATGAGAAGGCTGAGATTCATTCTGTTGGTCCAGCAAAAAATTAATTTCAACCCGCCCAAGCCAGATTTGAAACGGTGTTTCTAGACTATGTTAACGCATGTAATGCCTCAATAAAAATCCATCATTAAGAATTTCATAAGACATAAAAAATTTTACTTCACCAACTTTACTGAAGTGTCTTCTGGTTTTTATAATTTCTTATGATGTAGAGATGGTTGACCGTTGATATAATATGAGAAGGAGTTAGTCGAGGGTGCGGTCAAATAAATAAAAAAATTAAAATATAAGGCAAAAATTAAAATAATTTATATATTTTAATTTTTTTATTTATTTGACCACACCCTCGACTAACTCCTTCTCATATAATTTCTTATATTTTGAACTCATTTAATATCAACAGAAATATCTTTTTGTTATCTTACACCAATAATGAAATCAATTGGTAGGTAATAATCTCAAAATCCATTCAGAGCAAAGGCAAACAACGATATAAAAAGTTGTTGAAAATATATTTAATTTTATTATTATTTTTTTTTTTTTACAGCTCCAAAGGTCTATTGGATTGAACACTGGAATGTTCTTATTTTTTAAATATTTATTTAATAATATTAGTGATTTAATTTTCTAAAATTTTAATTTATAAGTATGAAATTTAGAAATATGTACCTATGTCATTTTTCACAAGACGTTCTGATTTTTCAGGACTTGAAAACAATTTCAACTTAGTATTCTGAAATTAAAAAAAAAAATGATTACAATACATAACATTGATAAATTCAGACATAACTTGACAAGCTGGCACATGTTACAGTTATATAACTTAACACTAAAGAGTTATAAACTTTAATATAGAAATTATAAAATTCAAAAGTTTTAGAAAACTCTTGAGCACTCATCACACAACTTTGTTGTTGTTGTTAAACCTTGAACCTTACAGCTAACTGTAAATCTCATTAAAATAAATAAAATAGCACAAAATCTATTTATTATATCAATGGTAGGTAATAAAAACCTCCTAACTCCATCAGACCCTTTTTAACCACATAACTCCAGTCTCTGAGTTCTATATACAAAGACATACTTGATAGTACATCTATAAATTTAATTTATAAATGAGTAAGGATTGTATTACATAGTAAACCCAAATCTATATACAAACTAAATCTGAATAATATTATACATGTTATTAAACCATTATTTTTCACTAGTAAAATTTACTAAAATGTAGTTACCAAGTTTTAATTGCCTACCATCGATATGTCAAAAGTTGCCACTAAATTGTAAATGGATAACTTCTGATTTCACAGAGCAGAAATCCATCAAATTATTCACTAATTTAATTTTTTCCTTTAATTTCAAAATCCTTATTTCGTTATTTATAGGTAATAGATAAAATTTTATGAATATAATTATTTATTATTTATTTCCTGAATATAATTATTTAAATTGTATTATTGTACCTTCAATGGACTCTCCTTATATTTTCGTTTTTTAGGACTTCTTTTTAAGGATATATACTTTGTCTCTATAGAGGCCACTATATCTACAGAACCATTTTCTGTTATACCATTACAAATATTACTTTCTAATTTTAATAATTTTGTGTTCTTAGAAGGTGATAAATAAGCAGATATATTTTTCTGTAAAATCTGAAATATACGAAAAACATTTTTTTAAAATAAAACGAATAAAAAAACATTTAATGTATTTATTAAAAATAGAAAAAATCTTGGTTCATAAAAAATATTTTATATAATATTGAAAGTAGGAGGCTTCAACACTTTGACCACATAAAGAAGAAGGGAGACAACAGATGGCCTATTTACAACAATTGGATCTAGTCAGAGAATAGAACAAAGAGGGGATAGCCAAGGAAGAAGTGGATGGAAGCTGTAAAAGAGGGAATGGACGCAAGAGAGACGGTGATATAGATTTCTGGAATTCGGAATACATTAATTGTACAAAATCAAAATAATAAGAGGGAGAAATGCTTTATTGAAAGTAATGCTGCCCTACTACATAGGGTTGCTTTATACACAGCATGCTGATCAATCCACATGGACTTACATTATATTATTCCATTATTTTATATACATATTACTTTTTTTCCCCTTTTCATAATACTGGTCATATACAATATCACTAATACACCACATTAAATAATTCATTATATAACACATACATTTTCTGAAGAAAACAAAAATTACAAAGATAAAAATTAAAATTTAATAAATAGATAAAAGACAAGACATTCTAAATTCACATTCAATTACTATACAAGTGGTATTGGATGATCCCCAGGGAGTCCAGAATAATATTCTCAGCCAATATTGCAAGCTCCTTGTTCTTTTTGGGAACATTCGGCGACACTCAAACCAGAGGTCTCTCACGGTGAACTCTCTCTCCGCAGGTCTCACAGAACTTCTCTTTTAGGAAAGGGATACATTTATCATATATATTTTTCTTTTCCCTTTCCACTTCACAGCCTGATTGAGGTCATTCCTCTCAAAGCGGACAATTAGCTGCCACTCATGGTAGCTTTGGCCCTGGCCTCCTGGAGTAGCTGCCAGTCTTCGTTGCCAGTAGACCACTTAGGCCACTTAACACACCATTTCCTGTAGCCTAAGGATTTAGAGCATATATCTCTAGCTTCTTCTGTCCTTAATTAAACCAAAAAAATTAACAGACTACAAAGACATTCAACCATTTAAAAAGATAAAAATAAAATGACAATAAAAAGTATAGGGATAAGTATTAGCACAAATCAAAAGAACAATCATAATTATTCCTAGAATCATGATATCAAAGAACAACAACAATGTAAACTCTATTAACTCAACTTATTTGTATATGTGCAGATTCAAAAAATATTTCTTTAATCTGCAATGTTATAATGAAATTCAAAATGTGTATATATATATATATATATATATATATATATATATAAAGTTAGTTATAATTGAATAAAAAAAAAAAAATAGATGTATTGAAATTCCTACATCAATAGTAGGAAATGCATGTACAATCTCTTACTGAGTATTATCATATGATTATATGATTGCTACACAATACATATATAGTATTAATAGTTAGCTGGTATCTGACTCTTTTTGAAACAGGAATTTGAATAGGAAGTTTTTGAATGTGTATAGGGAGGGGGCATGCCGAATTTTGATCGGGAGGGAATTCCAAAAGTTGACAGAGCGGGCTATGAAGAAGTTTTGGAATGAGGCAGATCTATGAGAAGGCATATAGGTCAGAGGGTCGAGATCTTGTAGTGAGGGAATGGATTGAGGACTTAAATTGGAGAAGGTTGTAGGCATAAGAAGGACAATGATCGATAATGATTTGATAAAGAAATGTGCCTATGAAATATTGTCTTCTTAAGGAGGGGAAGAGCCACCCTAACTCAGTGTAGTGGCGGGAGACACAGGAGCATCTCGGGGTCCCAATTACAAATCTTACGAAGCTATTCATAAGTCTTTTTAGTTTATCAAGGAGTTCCATCAAGAGGCCATCGTACACCACACAACTGTATTCAAAGTGGGGAAAGATGAGGGAGGAAACTAGGAGTCTCCGGGTATTAAGGGGTAGAAGATGGCGGAAGTGATGGAATAGTTTAAGGAAAGGGTTTGATCTATGAAAAAGCCTAAATTTTGAACAAAGGGGTAGAAGGTGATGGGGTGGTTGTTTAGATAGAGATAAATATATACTAATAAACATGTAGTTTTTAGAATTGGTGAGATTTATAAGTCTGGCAGCAGCTAAGTGTCTAGTGGTCAGAAAGTTCCCACACAAGGACAACCAAAATTACACCCTGGGTTAGCCCTAAACCCTGAAGGTGCGAAAAAACAAATTGTCCACATGCTGATAGACAAAAAACATCATAACTCCATACAAGAGTTAAGAGGCTATTATGGACCAGAATGTCATTCGGATCACATTCTCATTATAGTCAAACTATATCACAGATTGATGTGAATTCACAAAACTAGGGATCAAGTGGAAAGAGGCAGGTGAGAAGTCCATAATTTGAAAAATCCTGATGTAAAAGACAAATTTTAACTTGAGCTAAAGAATAAATTCAAATCCTTGGACTCGGAGAGGTTCATAGTAGAACAACACTGGGAGATAATAGAGACAGGTCTAAAAGAAACATCTACGAAAGTAATTGATATCCTGGAAAAACTGACAAGCTAAGGAGTGGTTTGCAAGAGCATGAGAATAGGTAGTGGAAAAAAGATGAAAAATAAAAGTCGTTAGCCTAACCATAAATACAGGTAAGAAGATCTAAGAGCCAAGTAACTACAACTAATCCAGAGAATGAAAAGAGACCTAGGGCTTAAAACATGGACTTAATCGTCTGGATAGTATCTAAAGAAGGGCCAAAAACTTGAAATGAAAACGATAAAAAGATTACAATACAGATGGATAAACAGAGGGGAAATCTAACAATGACACTGATCCTAATAAGATTTTAAATCGACATGGAACACTCAAGTTTCAAAACAGTACTAAAAATACAAAGAAAATACTTCCAATAAATAAATGATGAATTAAATAACCTTTTTAGGGCTAATCTTTGAATCAAGAATTCCTGATGGTGTTTCATGGTCTTGATTGTCCAAGTTTTCAGTAGCAATTAGTACTGATTCATTACTCGATTTATTTTCTCTAAATTTATTCAATCCATTAAATATGTCACTACTTTTCACACCTATTTCTTTAGCACAGACTTTGACAGGTCTTGTGTTCAGAGATGTACTATCACTAACTTTATCCTTTGATTCTGACGTTTTGTTAAAGAAATTGAACAACGTTCTTTGATTCGTCTAAAAAATAAATAATAATTAAATATTGCAGTTATAAATCATTCATTGTATTAAAATAAAAAAAAGGAATGCATATATATACTTCGATTTGACGTTTCTTCATAGTAAATAAATTAAAAATGCGCATAAATTATTCAGAAAGAATAGGTTTTATATTACAGAAAAATCCATAGACCTTAATAAAAATGGAAGTATTTCGGTCAAAACTTAAATGTTATTGAATGAACTTTTACACAACACAACTCGCGCCAAAATTCTCGGGATTCTACAAAGTCCAAAGAGATAGAATTAAAAAAAAATCATAAAGATGATCTTAAGTCGTTCCTTCAAATATTAGTTTACTTAATTAATAAATGTATGTAACTGAAAGAGAGTTTATCTGTACATTTGAACAAAAAATACCCTTGTCCAAAACTTAGAAATTTGTATAAATCTTGCAAAAAAAAAAGTCAAAAGTGGATATTCATTCATTGTTTAATGGACCAATTTTCTTGATCAATGGACATCAGTAACTTAAAAAAGAATGTATGTATAACCTAATCCGATTTGTTTCGTAAGGCTGAATCGAAGTTCAAAATTTTGGACATGAGTCCTCATTTTTTTAATATTTTTTATACAGTAAGTACTAAGTTACTCAGATTTTTAAAAAATTTCTAGATGTATGCATAACGTGAACATGATTTGTTGTTGTTTTTTTATTCGCTCTCTCCGATTAGGACAGAATTAATTTCATCAGGTAGGTGAAATTTCACCTAATTCTGAAATTCAGAATTAGTAGGTGAAATTTCATCAGGACAGAAGGTGAAATTTACTGGGCTGCTAGACATCGCATGGCCGAAAGAGTTCAAGACGATCAAGGCATAATATATTTTTTAAAAAAGTATAATATATAAAAAGCATCTGTTTATTTATTTTTTTTCGAAAATTAGACTATCCTTTTATTTTTGAAATGGGTGTGTATGAAAATTAAACTTCTTTTTCTTATCTGGCGCTACCTCCGACGTGGAGACTAGCCCTCGTACAGCTTTGACCCAAAAGTCATCCAAGTTCCGCGCTGCGGCCTTCCAGTTTTAGATACCAAGTATGATCGGGCATCTGCAACTGAGCCATAACTATAACGTAACTTTATTTTTCCTCTTATTTTTTCCCAAAGATTTCTTCCGGATAATTTTTGAGACCTAATTATTAGGCATTCTTATCACATATCCAATCCATCAGTGACGGCTTACTTTAATATAAGGTTATCACATTACCATTCCCATACAGTTGCATTAATTCGGCATTAGTCCGCAATCGCCAGACTTCATTTACATGTATGTACTTCAACATGTATTGTACCCAAGATTCTTCTCAGAGTCGGCCTTTCAAATCTTAGTAGAACCTGTTTCTGATTCCTGGCAATACTCCAGCATTCCCCAGCAAAAGAGGATACCGGCTTTACTAATATCTTACACAGGCGGATCTTAGTAGCTCGTGATACTACTCTGCTCCTGAAATGTCCAACTAGTCCATAAAGAAGCAGTATACGTACATATTGTAAAATGAATAAGTTAAGGATATTTGCAATCTATTGGATAATACAGAAACCTAGGACTGGAAAAGAATTATTTTACTAAGGGCTTAGAGTCTAACTTCTCCAGTCTTCTATTACCGGGTAGGCATTATTCTATACTCTATGGATGGGTCTTGCATCAATGGCCCAATCATTCAAGAGTGGAACGTTTGCCTAGGACTGATGACCCTACCCCGTGTAGTTAATCGGGAATCGGGATGTAGTCTACCAGGATGTTAGTAGCCCCCCTGAGGTTGGGTCCATGGACAGTCTGTTTCGGAGAAAGAAATATAGGTCCTCGTACCCCTGCTGACTCCGTGCAGTCGTAATCCATGGATATAGAGCGATGTGTCACTGTCCTTGCAACCGAGTGAGTCGGTGGGAAGGGCGATGCCAGATTGGTCTCAAAGGGATCGGCTATGAAGCTACGGATGGCCTGTCGCTGCACCATGGAAACCATGGTTCGTAGCAACGTGAGGTTGGGTGACCTCCTCCAGGCTATCTGAGTTCCCGCAAGCAACTTACGTCTGTAAGGAGACCACATCTCGCGGCCAAAGATCTTCATGGTCTGTAGTGCCAACCGAGAAAAAAAAAAAATATATATATACAGTAGAAAAATTAATAAAATTCAGACCACAATTTCAGAATCGGGCACTCTGGAACCCATGTACCAACGTTGTCGGCCATATCGTCCTCTTTAATCAATGTAAAAATCACAACAACTTCAACTCAAGGCTTTATTTTAACTTTTTTAAAATTGATCTTCGATGACAGAGAGAGTAGCTCTTCTCTTAGATTCAAACAAAGCTTGATAGTAGCTCTGATCTTCTTCAAGTGGTATTCTTCTTTCTGTATTACTTTGATCACCTTCTCTGCTTGAAGGGAAACGTTTATCAGCTGGACTGGATTGAGCTTTTTGAAGATATTTCATTGCAGCGATAGTATATTCATGTGTACACATAGCACTTATAATTTTCTTTTCAAAGTCCCCATATGTATTTGATGCTGGTGAATAACCTTTTAGTGTAGTTAATTCATACGCCTGAAACAAGAAACATTATTCAGAATCATCACTTCACTGTTCAACTGATAAAGGAATTTCAATCTAAAAAAAAAAATAAAATAAAATAAAATTAATCAATAATGAAGGCTGTTTTTTTTTTTTAAATAGTTTTACTTAGTTACTAATTATTTTTTCCATTAATATCCTAATTATGTGATCTATTTTCCAGTTATGTTCTTAATTAACTTAATTTTTTAATCATTTTTAGCCTTCCTAGAATTTTATTCTATATAATGCTGAGGAGTTGTACTAGATTATGATGTAATTTAAGTTAATCTTTTTTAAATGCTCAAGGCGTCATGAGAAACTCTCAGATAATTGTTTTCTTCAAACTAAATGATGAGATCGTCCATTCCTATTAGTCAAAAGTTGTGGGACTTATAAGTCAATAAAAAATTGCTAGTTCTCGGACTAAACCGAATCGACGTAATTTCAGTCAATTTTTAAAAAAATATGTGTAAGAACAGCTTCAAGTCCCCCTCCCTCCCCCGGAGAAATTGCCAGACAAACTTTTTAGTGAAAGTAAATGATGAGACTTTCAATAAATTAGTCAAAACTTCTGCTGTTTATGATATAATTGATAAATCGCTCGCTGCCTGACAACTTACTTTCAAAGAAAAGGCATCCTTTTTTTGCAAATAACTCAAAAATTGTATTTTTTATTGACAATTTAACCCATAATTATTTGATGATTCGACCCCATGATTTATAAATTACCTACAAAACAAAAATCGTCGAAATCAGACCGTTATTTATAAGTTATAGGTATAATTTTTCATTTTTAATTCAATTTAATTTAAATACAGATTTAAATTTTTGTTAATAACGTTTTAGTTTTCGTTCAATAAAATAGATTAGTTTTAGCCGAAAAAAAATTTATTATACGGAAACCATTTTTTTATTTTTTTGGTCCTCCATCTTCTCTCCTTTATGGCTATACGGGGTTTCCCGAGCCGGGGAGTGTGGACAGGTATTTAAAAGATTTCTTCGACACCTGGATGAGAACCCGTGACTACTTTTTATCATTTTGTCTCATGTATCAGGTTGCCAGGCAACGTCAGTGCTGTGCACACGCGTTAGCCCGTTCGGTCACGGGGTATCGACTTACTTTGCGATCTTCAATTTAATGTTCCCAAAAAGTCACAATAACGGATATTCGAAGATTAAAACAATATTCTACATTTAGTGTCCCTTTTGAGAAAAAGCAACCCTCTGAAGACTGTTCGATATATTATAGCTATCTGATGATGCTATGTCTCAACATTAAGCAGACTGATGAATGGATTAGTAGAAAGTTTTTAAATTATTTACAAAATTGAATAACCAAAAATATGACATGTACAAATTTTTGTTCTGTGATGGTTGAAGAACTATTCTATCCTGCTTTTGTTAGAGGAGGCATAATGAAGTCCATGGCTTTATAAATAGTTTAAGCAATTTTTACCGATTAGAAAAACATATTAATAACCTATCACAACTTTAGTTTCATAAATTTTTATTCAATAATATCTATAAATAATCAAATATTAATTATCCCTAATTCATCAGGAATTTAATTGTAAATATAATAAAAATAATAAGTTAAATTAATTACATTACGTTTTTACTAAAATATAATTTGATTTATTTTATATAGACTATTCTGAACAAATTATAAAGAGCCAAGAGAGTATTGATGGCTTTAACAATTATTATATTTTCGAAATTAATATACACTTACTCGGATGGCTAAATATTTTAAGTTTGGGTAGTTAAACTTTTCAGCAGCTGCCATTAAACCGTTAAGGCTGACCCTTCCTTGATTCATATTCCCTTGTTGAATTTCAGATCTGGCGAGCAAGAACATAGAATTAAGAAGCCACTTCCGATCTTTAGCGGCTTTCGATGCAAATATTGCCTCCCTTGCATATATTTTTGTCACGAAAGGAACCCCTTTAAAGCAGTAGGCCACGCCTATTTCGTGACATAAGTATGCTTTCTCCAACGGTTGAGTAGTATGTTTCAAGTCAGCCAACTTTGCTTCAAGAAACTGTCTGAAACATCAAACAAATTACAGTGCAATAAAAAGTTATAATAAAATACAACTATCAAATTGAATGAAAATTATCTAGGATCTTCTGTTACTAGCGATTAAAGATCATAAGGTTTGGAAAGGGTTCAGAGGAGAAATATTAACCCATGACCGATAACAGAGAAGGTGCAAGGAAATGTAAAGAACGAGAATGAAAGTGTGGTGATATTTCTTTCACGGACACTTGATGGAAGAAAGCACGGGCGGATCTACGGGAGGGGCTTTCGGGCTGAAGCTCCCCCAAAATGGTGAAATATAACCATGTTTTATCGAAAAAAATATTTAAAAATTATCTCTTAAAGTATTATTGTTCGTGTAATTACATTTAGAAGGTCTTTAGGAATCACTTAAACACCATTTCATACAGGTAGTTAGTTTCTTTCTTTCTTTCCAAAGTAATTATCGTTATTTTTATGAAAAAAAAACAACTTTCGGGCTGAAGCCCCCCCCAAAAATAAATCCTGGATCCGCTAGTGGAAGGAAGGGATGAATTGAGACTTGGCTGTGAGCACTAGCGTATCCAGAATTTCATTTTGGGGGAGGAGGGAGCTTCAGCCCGAAAGCTTTTTTTCTTCAAATATACCTTTATTTGTTTAATTTTCTTCAAATAATTACTTTGGAAGAGAAAGAAAGAAACTAACTACCTATACGAAATGGTATTTAAGTGTTTCTTCAAGTCCTATTAAATGTAATTAAGCGAACAATAATACTTTAAGAGATAATTTTTTAATATTTCTTTCCATAAAAAATAGTTATATTTTACCATTTTGGGGAAGAGGCTTCAGCCCAAAAGTCCTCCGCTTTGAAGGGGTTGCCTTCCGCGTATCTGCTATCACTTATTCATGTTTCGAAAGGTTTCCCCTCCACTATCTCCGAACAGGTAGAATTTTCTGAAACCCAAATACTAACGGATCCTGAAAATCATGGGAGAGCGATATATTATCAAATCGATAAAAAATGAGACACACTGATCAGTCTTACTCGAGGAAAGGAGGAGAGATGAACCTTGGGTTGATCGAGAATATCAAGTATTAACGGTATTAAAAACCATCACTCAATGCAGCAGTACAGAAATAACAGGTCTGAAAAGCACTTATAGAAACCGTAAGAGGCTATTGCATTATAAAAAGGTATATGGCATAATAGAAGTATTATTAAATTTCTACTAGGAAACAAGAAAATTCTACCAATATACTCTGTACGATAAGCTAATTATAAATAGGAATTTAAAAAACTTTGTACAAGATGTATGTTTTCAATATCTCAAAATTGTTATAAAAAGTGTATACCTTAGCTTGGGTATTTTAGGATGAAAACCTTTTTCACAAAAAAGTTCGTGAGTTAATGATTGTGGTTTTTGAAATCCGAAAAGGACCATCAATCTTTCATCATTTTCATTACCAGTTGTTGGCAAAAGAGATTTATGTTTTAGAAATAGGTCACCGAGTATGCTGATAACTGTTACCATAGCATCATTTTTGGACGGTAAATCTCTTTCGCTTTGTAAAAATAAAAAGCTTCTTAATTCATCTCCTGTTTTGAAACATTCCGGATGGTTATCCTCATGGAAAGCATGGTCTAGAGAGGCTATTCTGAGATTGACGACTATTTCCAGATCTGCTTTTTTACTATCTTGTTTATTGGCAATATGAAGCTTTAATCTTTTAGACAATACATCTTGTTCTCGGGTATACAACGGTTCTCTTCTCCATAGAGCAGTCTAATTAAAACATTATTTAGAATTAATATGACTAAATTAGCTCTATTTTATATTTATGACTTATGGCAGGTTGTTGAGTAAAGAATAAAAGTAGTTTCGGTTTAATACAACCTTTACTTCATTTTCAGCTGGAGGCACTGCAGCCTCATTGAGGCTATTGTGCGACGACCTTTTTCTCTGAGTTAACCAATTAGCAGCTCTTAATATCTATAATGCGGTCGCGACCAAAATGGATGTACTACTTTCCAGCAAGAACATCAGTATACAATACAGCAGGGGTGCCCTGAAGGGGTGTTTGTGGCGCAAGTTGCGACATCAAAATTTTTGAGGGGGAGGGCATATTTTGACGGGTTTTAGAATTTTTGAGAGGGTCACATTTTGACAGTGTTATGAATTTTCGGAATGAAAAGTTCTATACTAAGGGATAATGAGAAAACATGAAACAGACTGCAACAAGTTTAATCTGCAGCAAGTATGATCTACGATTTTTCCAATTCTGCCTTCGCTTGGTCTATTTTTAAGAAAATATGAGCAATAAAATATCTTGGGAGTGGGTGGAGGGGTAGATTCTTGCGCCGTCAACCTTGGTGGGGGGGGGGAGGAGGGAGGATAGGTACTCCTGCAATACTGCTTGTAATTAATCTATGTCCTATAATTTTTATTCAACACTCATAGCTAAAATATATGGGTTTTATTCCCAAAGACACATGTTTCAAGTTCATCCTAGAAAAACTTTCTCAGTTTTTACAATGCCTCAGTATCCAGTCACTTATTCAACGTATATCTTATTCTTTTTTCCTTTTTCGCACATTATTATTAATGTTAAGGTAATTACAAATTTATTGTAACAACGAAATTCAAACATGTTATGTAACAAGCACAATATTTTAACTCAAACAATATTTTAGTCTGGCATCCACAAGATTATTGGGATTGTAGTTCCGAAGATGGGAGTAAATATCCCGAAACGTCAACTAACTTGTTAACATGTAACGTTGATAATAGAAATATACTCGATTGTTACCAATTGGAAGTTATTGCCAAACAACTAAAAGTATATCTTATTGTTTCAGGAGAGAATGTTTTTAATTTAAATTTACTTTTTTTTTTTCAGCTATAGGTCTATTCCGAGCAGAGGTACCTTTCCACCCATGAACTAATCTCTCCCTCCTACTTTTCAAGAAACTTCATTGCCCCTCTCTTCTTAAAAATGTTGCATGTCAAAGTAGAATCAGAAAAACGAAAATCATATACAATTTCACTTGCTGTGTCCTGATCCATGTTTTCCCCCTTGTTCCCTGATGTGAAACTTATCACTCCTAAAATTCATAACCCCGTCGAAATGTGCCACTCTCAAAAATTCAAAACCTGTCAAAATTGTGCCCCCACAAAAATTTTGATAGCTCCCCTTGTGACATGAAACCCTATTTTGGGCAGCTCTGATTTCGAGACTAAAATAATGACTTGCCATTTTCCCCAAGTTTGACTCCAGATTACTATGTTAATCGCTTTATTTTATATTTTACTTTGTTCTACAAAGAATTGTATTCACGGCAGAAAAATAGTTCAGAGGAGCATTAGTCTAGAATTATGCTAACTCCCGGTCTAACAACCTGCCATTACAAAAATATTTTAATAGATAAATAAATTTTGAACAAATAATGTAAAATAATTACTATTAAAAATAAAACATCATTAAATGTATAAGTATTGACAATAAAATATGGATTTCAACAATAAAAAAATAACGACATAAAATATTACTCACCTTAGCAGCAAGTAATTTGTCCAATGCATCTTCCAGAATTTTTCGAAGGAGCTGGTTTTGTTTTTTATTACCAAGAAATAACGAACCATCATCAAGACAAGATTTTAAAAGATCATGATCCTTTGCCGCTCTTTTTAAATAAATTTGATTATATGCATCCTTTATTCTTTTAAGTTTTTTCTAAAAAAAATGACGTTATTATTATAATACTGTATAATTTATTTTTTAATATTTTAAATTTCATAGTTAAACATTTTATTATGGATAGGTGTACTCAATATCTTGCGTATTATTGTTATTCTTTTTTTTTTTTGTGGGCATGGTAAAATACAAAAAATGAAAACATAACTTTAATCATGAGGATACAAATCCCCAAAGAAAACATAATTTCATACACTTGGTCTACTTAGTCAAACTATACAACATATAGCCCCCCCCCCTTGATCCGCCCCTGCTATCTGGGAGCGATTCTTCACCTCGATTGTAATAATTAACCTTCGCCTTCTTCAGGAGAGAGCAATCTTCGAGGAAAACTTATAAAATTAATGGCTTCAAAACCGTGTTAATTCCACTTATCATTTAGTAAACTATTATAATTCATCTATGTAGCAGTGAAAATAGATCATAATATATTTTTAAAAAAGTGTAAACATATAAACAACACACAACTAGTTGCAATCAAGGTTTTGTTCCGTTCGATCGTAGGTTTCAAAACGTAACTCTTGTAGTAAAAACGCTTGCTCATAAAAAAGATGGAGTCGTTTTATCGTCTACACGTTCAAAGAAATTATTAGCGGAAGAAGTGAATCACCGGCCTTTGCTCCTAGATTAGCGATATTTATTTACCTTTACTTTGACGGTTTGTACTTTAATCACCTTTATGTAAACAAGAGATCTATTTCGGTCTATAGCAATTATCATTTGGAGTACTCGAATATAATATAATAATTTTATTCGAGGTAGTAACATTTTCCAAAACCGTTTGAAACCGAACACCCTAAACTATTTTTCTTTTAGATCTGTTTGAGCATATAATATTGGTAGGCAATATCCAACTTCATCATATCTACACACATATACATTACTCTGCTATTATTTTAATATAAGGGTATCGATTAAGTCCTATTCATGGCAAAATGATTTTCAAAAAGTGCATATTTTAGTAAAACCAATCATCTCCAAGAAGTGCATTATCAGATGAAGAAAACGTGGATTTTGAATTTCGTCTGTTTTTACAACGCTCCATCCTCATTCAGCGGACTACATTTTTTAGCATTTGGTGAGTGTGCAGGTTCACACTGGCTTGGAAAAAATCTTCATCAAGAAGTCCACTATCGGATTTTAAAAAATCAATTTTTAATTTAATCTGACGGTGCAACGCTCTCTCCTAATATTAGTATACAACGTATTTTGATTTCGAGGTTGTGTGCAGTTTCATATTTTGATGAAACAAATTATCTTTAAAAAGTTCACTACCGGACGAAAAAAAAAAACAATATCATACCTTAATATAATATAATATTATTTTTATGAAATATCTTCATAAAAAAAATAAATAATTTTAGAAAAATTGAATAAGGAAACCAAATATACATATAGAAAACAATTCTTTCTCTACGTTTACGATTTTATAATCAAAATAAATAATACTCTATCGGGTACCCCCAAACATACCATAGTAATAAAAAATAATCTTTCGGGTCCAAACATTTAAATCCAACGCTATGGTTCGATAAGAATGTAAACTAATAATTTTATATTAGAAGCCCTATACGGTTATTGGCAAGCCGACCGGGTCCGACATTCTCTCCGGTGACTTTCAGAAAACAGCCAACATTCCAATATATAGAGTATAAAGAAGAATCAAAGAACCCATAAAATTAGCGATCAAGAATACCGGTTAAGATCAAATCAGTAAATGTGCGGGACAATGAATAACCTGGAAACCATAATGCGGAAAAGAAGACTGAAATTCTACAGACACATAAAAAATGAATTCTTCCAGAGTCAACAAACATTTTTTTTAGATATTCAACATGAAATACCTGGGAGGTCATATTAAACAAATAAAAGAAGAATTCAAAAAACTCATAATTAGCAAGAAATACCGTATGGACAGCAATGAATTTATAAAACAAACTAATAAACAGGTTCTTGTGAGAGAGAAGGGGAAACGCACTGGCAGGAAAAAAAAATTAGGAATGAAGGGCATTTTATTCTAAAATAATGAACGTCGTTTGAAAAACGGGAGTAAAAAATAAATCATGGTCCTAAGCTAACCTCAAAAAAAAAAAAAACTAAAAGTTTTAACATTGCAGCTAAATGAATACGGATATTTATTTAAAGTTAATTATGATATTAACTGAATATTTTTTAAACGTAAACTTACGACTTTTCTCCTTCTAGCTATTTCATTATGGCCACCTTCCGGTACATGTCCAAGTTCTTTTAACTTCATTTGCACTACGACATCGCCAAGCCTTTTTTTACTCATAATATTGCCCACTTTGGATCCGAGGGAATTCAGAGTCGTACCTGTAGACTGCCCAAGACTTATACTTGGAATTAAAAATTGATATCTATTGCATGATGATGCAACAATTAATACAATTAGTTTTAAGTTCAAATGGAAATCCAGAAAAAAATGTTGAAAATAAAGATAAAACTCACCGCCCAAATCCCATGAATAAATTTTGGAGATCTAGGTTTTTTTAAATGGCCTCTGTAATAAGCTCCTAGTGCGTCTTCAAATTGGTTCTTCTGATAATATAAATCGCCGAGGGTGAGCATTATCTTGGTATTATTCGGACAAAGTTGCAATCCTTCCCGAATGTCTCTTTCTGTAGCTTTGAGGTTCCAGGTGTGAAGGTAAGCAATACTTCTTTCTTCATACATTGGAACCATTTCACGATCCACATTTGCATTACCTTCGGCTGCATTGTATTGCTTGATTGCTATAAATATTTTATCAAGTTAATTATTTCTGGCTATTGGAAAAATAATAATATAAATAAATAAAAAATGTATATTTTAAATTATGGACTATCAACAACTAAAACTATAAAGATATTCTCTGGATGATTTAGTCAGGTATATTATTTATTGATTTTAAAGGCCAGTCAGTAGCCATTGAAGAAATCATACTAGAATTTAGTATTTCTCACGTTTTCATTGAGGTACTATGTGATTTTTTCAAAATAATTTATTTCCAACTAACTCGATTTTATGAACTTTTAAAGACTCCTTTCTTTTCATTTCAATATCTTCAATAATCTCAGTTCATTCTTAAACATATTTTATTTTAAAATAACATGAGGAGGTACTTTTAGTTTCAAGTGAACATGGAATTAGATAAAAAATTGTGATAAGAGTAATTAATTGCATTTTTTAAGGAGTTAGTATCTCTAAGCTAAACTAAAGTGACGAATGCAATGTGTAATTGCGTAATTCAATGAAAAAATGTGTTTGTTTTGCATGGAACGTTTTCTAAATAGTCCAGTCAATAAAGTTGGTAAAGAGTGCGTGATAAGGGACCTGAGCGATTCCTTCAGAAACTTGTTCAGGTTGCTTAGGCTGTGAACACATCAAAAGTCCTCACGTCTGGGTGGTGAGTCGGTGGAGAGGGAGAGAGGAAAGTTCACAATTTTTGGATTGTCGCTTATATCTTAAAAATAGTTTCTCGCAGCAGAAATTTCTGATATAATAAATTAAATTTTATAAAAGTATCTAGAACTTTTATTCTACAGGTTTTATCCGAATTCCAAACCGTTTTCGAGCTACACTCTCGGCAAAAAAAATTATTTTGCCTCTCCTTTTTCATGAAACATTCCTTCATATCGTCTAAGTTAGTCAACTGAGAAAGAAAATTATTTAAAAGAAGTTGTAGAGACTTAAATTTCCTATTAGAATATATAGGCAATTAATCTCCCACCAGTTTATAGTTACAGCTATTTAAATTTTTTTCGTAAAATTTTGTCATTTTTAGAAAAGTTGTTTTTATCATATTCTTGATCCACAACTTTTGTTTGTTTGTCTATGTGTGTGGCCACACTTTGAATCTAATTATTAAATAAAATATTTAAAAATCTGTCCTTTAATGGCGGATTGTCTACTGGAGTTAGTTTTTCGGTCACTGAGATTCAGCATTAAATTTAATTTGGTCATAATTGACATTTAATTAAAGCATAATAGTCAGAGAATTGGTTAAGGCAATGAAAATACTGGTAAAGTCAATTTATACAATTCAATGATACGAATGTTGAAAATCAAGCGCCATTTATAAATAAACGGCCAACAATAACGAAAAATGTCTTGAAATAAAACATCTGGAAAATACATTTTTCTTTCTAAATCAGTGATTAATTTATAAAATATTTGAAACAGTTCCTTAGAAAATACACTTAATCGGCGGAAAAAATCGGTTCTTCTGTAAGCGCCTACTGTCTTGTTCTTCATTACTCATAAATGAGATAGTTATAGGGTTATAATAACGTTTTTGGTATAACTTTTGTTTGTATGTCTAATAATATGTAATCACACTTTTAATCCAGTCATTAAATAAAGTAGAAAAAAATGTAATAAAAAATAGTTAATTTTTAAAAAATCTAGTTATACTAAAAGCGTTATTATAGCCCTATAATTATGCTATTTATGAATACTGAGGAAGAAGACAGTAGGCGCTTACAGAAGAACCGTTTTTTTCTGCCGTTTTCTAATTTAAATTTCAATAAAACAAAGCCCATAAAATGACTTTAATAAGTTTGGTATCTATTACCTGGGCCAGGGTCTGTACGCTAAAAACAAGAATCAAAAGATATATAGAGACGCCATAAAAATGTTTAACTATATATTGTTTTTTTTCTTGTTATTACAGGTAAGAAAAACAGGTTCTCATCGATACATTGGTGAGATCAAAGGATAACGTTAAACCAACTAACCATCCCCTAATCTCTTGTACGGTGAAGAAGGTCTCATTAAGTTCATGTATAATTAAGGACTCTGGCGAATCATCATTGACTGAAAGAAGAACACGGTACTGTTTGCTTACCTCCATTGGTGTATTCGTTAATTTAACTTGAAGAAATTTTAAAAATAAGTGTTACCTCCCCCGAGCCCTTCCTCCCTAGAAATTTGATTTCTCTCCTGACTTATAAAAAAAAAAAAATGGCCCATGTATTTTGTTCTTTGTACTTTACAAACCAATTAAAAACTGTTTACAAAAAGAGGTCAATCAATATTTCATGATATGAAAGCAAAGAGGTTAAGATGGGCGTAGAATGTAGCAGAAAGCCTCTAAAAAATAATGAATGCCTCAATAGTAGGCCTCATGGAGGGCCCAAAATCAGATGGATAGGTAAAATCGACAAAGATGCCTTAGAGCTGGAACTGGAAAGAAATATCCCAAGATAGGAAGATATGGAGAAGGTAAGTTAAGCTTGTTAAGGTAACAAAAGATCTACAAGAATTGTAAAGACAAGTGCTACAAAAAATATGGAATCCTCCAAAAATTCATAAAGTTGGTGCCCTTAAGCAGTAGGTATGGTAGGTGATTTACAGAAGAACAAGAACAAAATGTTTGCGTGCCTCACAGAAGGAGCTGGTGTGTTATGCCTTACTCGATCTATAAGAAAAGTAGGAAGTTAATAAGGCCCCTTAAGATCTAGCCATACCCGGGATGTTGAAAAATATCGATATATCAGCATTTAAAAAGAATATATATATATACATATATTGTAACATATTTTATTAGGTTATAAAAAACACATATTTAAAGAAAAGATGAATGTAGGAAAAAATCATCCTCATACACGAATTTCCTTATGTAATATATACAAAAACTTATTATCGTGATCACCATTAGCGAATTCTGCCAGGGGGCACACCCTTCCTTTGATGGTAAAGAAAAATTCCGAAAAAACAACTATATAAAGAAAAGAGAATTATAGGGAAAATCCATTCTCATACATGAATTTCCTAATGTAATACAAAAAATAAAATATTATCGTGACTAGTACCAGCGAATTCTGCCAAGGGGTGCGTCCTCCCTAGGATAGTTGAAACAAATTTTCAAAAAAAGTTACCAAAAAACACCTATATAAAGACAAGAGAAATCTAGAAAAAAATCATCCTCTAAGACGAATTTTCTAATGCAATATAAAAAATAATTATCGTGAGCAGCACTAGCACTGGCGGATCTACGGGGAGGGGGACTTTCGGGCTGAGGTCCCCCCCCCCAAAATGGTGAAATATAACGATGTTATACAGAAAAAAATATTAAAAACTATCTCTTAAAGTATTCTTGTTCCTGTAATTACATTTAATAGGACTTCAGGAACCACTTAAACACCAATTCATATAGGTAGTTAATTTCTTTCTTTTTTTTCAAATTAAATATCGTTATATGTATATGACGAAAAAAAATCTTTCGGGCTGAAGCCCCGCCCAAAATTAAATCCTGGATCGCTAGTGAGCATCCTCCTCTGGATGATAGAAAAATAATTCCGAAAAAAAAGATGCAAAAAACAGCTATTTAAAGAAAAGAGAAATATAGGGAAAAATCATCGTCTAAGAGGAATTTTCTAATGCGATCAACATCATCATCCCAAGCTCGACAATCCATTACTGGATCTTGGCTGCCTCAAGAGATTTCCTCCATGTTTCCCTGTCCTAAACTACACTAGTTCCTGATTCTATGGATTCTGGCACCACCACTTACTCCATTTACCATCTTAGTTCCGGTCTGACCACTTTTTCCACCCGGCTCCATGCTAAGTAGCTTCTTTGGGATTGAGGTCTCGTCCATCCGTACAACTTGGTCCTTCCATCTCACTCTTGATATCCGGATATATTTCACCACATCCGTCTCTTTATATAAGTTACGTAGTTCTTGGTTGCGTCTAATTCTCCATCACCATTCTTCTTAACAGGGCCGAATATCCTACGAAGGACCTTCCTTTCAAAAAACTAAAATTTTAAGCAGCTGTTTAATGAAAAGAGAAATATAGGGAAAATTCATCCTCATAGACGAATTTTCAAATGTAATATATAAAAAAAATTACTATCGAGACCAGCGCTAGCGAATTCTTCAAGAGGGTGACCTTCTCCTGGATGGTGGACAAAAAATTCGAAGTCCCAAAAAGCAGCTATTTAAAGAAAAGACTGAAGTAGTTTTTGGGCTGTCGTTAGATTCGAAGGCTTGTGCTCCTGTCGCAGTTTGTTCCTATTGACTCCGAACTGAGTCTCGCAGGTGAAATACATGATGGAGGAAAATTTATAAAAAAAAATATTTCATTTATTCTTTCGAACAACCTTTTATTCGGACACAAGAAAATACAGGTTTTCTCCCGGAGCCAGTTTTTATTCAGTTCCAATAGATCTGGACGCATTGCAACCTCCAAAAACTATAGTATCCTTGAAGAATTCATGCAATTCATAAAACTGATCACGATAATTTCTATATTCTCATTAGAAGGTGTTGTTTTTTCTTAAAATAGCTGCTGTTGGTAACGTTTTTATGAAGGAAAGCACTAATTATTGGGTCACCGATCTGATCGGAATAGGACATTTATTCTGAGATTTTTTTTTCTTAGGGAACACATTTCGAAGCTACAGTGCCATTTATAGTAATCTTTCTCAGATATTGACAATGTCGGTAAACATTAGCGTTCATTGACCACTGTCCGACTGATTATAGACCATATCACTTAATCAAACTATTAAGTTTAAGTACTCGTTTGACATACAATTAGACGTTCTTCCATTTCTTAAAGAATACGTTTTTCGCTTTAATGCACAGTTTAGTCTGGATTTTTTAGCTGTAAAGTTTTCTCTTGGTGACCGGTGTTAACAATTTAGTTTTTTACATGTCTAAACCCATACACAGGGTGTCTCGTTAGTAGAGAGACATATTTAAAGGAGTGATAGCAGAACTCAAAAAATAGAAAAAAAAAAAACGTTTATATGAACAATGGTTCGATTTTTAGCAGGAAAGTAGAGAATTAAATTTTTGTGATTTTTTATGTAAGTCGCGCTTTTTGTTGAATAGGAATTGATAACAAAAAACTTTCTAATTTATGTAATTGACGATTGCTTCACTGTAAACGAGACAAAATTTAATTTAAATATAAATAGAATTTGCTTTTGTTAAAATCATTTAAAGAGGAGGTTTGAGCAGCTAAACTCAGCTAAGGAGTGGAGGGAGATGGGTAGTGGTGGGGAATGGTTAGGGGTGGAGAAGCACCTGGTACAGAGGTGCGCCTCTTCTCCCCCCCCCCCTGAGAAAATTCCTGGATACGCCACTATATGAAGCTCATGTTACGTATGAAAACCTGTTGTAATCTTTCGGGCTAGCTTGGTTATTTGGACTCAGGAGATCTCAAAACATGTATTGTCATTGAAAACTCACGACTCGAAAATGTCCACCATCGCAATACTTACCCTTACTATATATTGCATATATAAGTAAGTAAAAGTAAAAAAAAAAAGTCCCTGAAGTCCCCGTGCCCCTAAAAAAAAAAAATTAAATCCTGGATCCGCTAGTGCCCATAACTCCACTTGTTTACTTCATCTTTCATGCAGTTGCTTATCTTCTCCACATTTACTACTTCCTCCAAGGACCCAACAGTTTTATGTTTACTGCCTGTTCCATGCACTCATCATGAGCACCTCTGGTGATAGATTTTAGTAACTATTTTATCTCTTTACCAACTTTTATTATTATTGATTAATACTATTTTTTTTTTCACTGAAAAAGTTTCATTATATTACATTTTACTAACCTGGAAAATATTTTTGTCTTTTATTTAAATAATCTCCCGCCCATAGGTTTATATGATAGGGATTGTAAACAAACGTAGGAATTTGATATCTTTTTTTTTCTTCTGGTTCTCCACCTTTCGTCGCCATTGTTTGAAATTTTGTAGAATTCTAAAAAACTATTTACATAAAGGTTACAATTTCTATCTCTTAAAATTTGTTTATCAATAGAGAATGAGTAAGTCATATGTTTTTTTCCATCTTTGGTTTTACCAACTAAGAAAGCTATTGATAACTTTTATTGTTATATAGAAAATATTAGTTTTTAATTGGGTTCGATAGGTTTATATAGAACAAATTTATTTAAAATTGATGATTTCAATCAGTGCCGCATTCGGCACTACCCCGGGCAATGACTTCGCGCCCTATCTAAAAATCGCTGGTATCTAAAAAAAAATAAATTGATTTCTTAAGCAGTTTTATACTATCTAATATTTGAATTTTATTTTATTGAGGGAAGAGCATGTTTCTAGCTTTTCTTGATATCAAGGCGGCATTTGATTCGGTTCCTAGACAAGAAATATGGGCAGCTCTAACAGCAAACGAATGTACCCAATGAACTAATAGATGCTAGAAAATCCACGTACCGTAACACAAAGGGCGTAATAAGAATAAACGGAAAATAATCCAAACCTTTCGAAATGAAAAAAGGATTAAAACAAGGAAGCAGCCTAAGCCCTCTACTGTTCATCATATTCATGGATAAAATCCTAAAAATATGCAAGAGGACAGCACGGACAGTTGTTGGGAAGTGGAATATGAGGACAATCCTTGCTGAGGCTATGGTTTTTGCTAATGACATTGTTCTCATAATAGATTCAAAAGAAAACTGCAGCAAGCAATCATAGAGTGAGAAGCTGAGCTGGATAGAATGGGAATGATGCTCAATCTAAATAAGAGCAAGATAATGTGTATAGGACGAAATGAAGAAAATGTGGAGATCCGATGCAGAGGAGAAATCTTAGAGAAGACTGAGGAATATACCTACGTAGGTACAGTCATCAGCACGAATGGAAAGATTGACGGGGAGGTTTCCAACCGGATCAAAAAAGCAAATAATGTCTACTACCAAATATGCAACACAATTGCTGGAAAGAGAGAAGTGGATAAATACGTGTACTGCACATTTTCAAGGCAATATACCTACCTACTGTTCTCTATGGAAGCGAAAGCTGGGTCCCACTAGACAAGCACTGGAGCCGAGTAACAGCCGCAGAAAGAGATACCTGAGGAGAGTGGCTGGCCGAACCAGAAGAGATCTGGTTAGAAATCAGCGAATAAGAGAGGAGTTTCAGCTGTAAAAGAAGTGGTTGAAAGGATGCAGCTGAAATGGTTTGGCCACCTTTGCCGAATGGAGGAAGATCGGGACCCGAGGAAGTACTTCGAAGCTAGGCCAACTGGAAGACGTCCGCAGAGCTTACCTAGGTTAACCACATCTTCAAGCTGGGGAAGCAAAGAGGACTCGGGCTGAATGCCATGAAGGCGCTGGCCAGAGATCGGGATGCGTGGCTGGCATGGACTGAGGCACCTCTACGTTGGAAGACACAAGGAGGAAGAAGAAGAAGAAGAAGTACAAATACTTTTGATCCTGACCCTACATATAATACAAGAGAATCGAATATGTAATTATTTATTATTGTATTATTCTAAGTATTTCTTCTATTCATTTTCAACTATTGCGTAATACACATTTTTATGCAGTACAGAAAAATATTGACAACCATTATTTAAACAAATCATACTGAAACAAACTCAGGTTTAACAAGTCACAATTGTATCTTCAAATGAGAAATTTTGTTTAGTTGAATCTATCTTTTAAGTATTTATGTTTCATTTTAGAAAACGATAACGTTTTTACTTCTTCAGTATCCTAATTCATATGTAAGAGAATGTATGAGGATTTTTATAAAATTTATTATGACGAAATTATTATAACAAAAATCCAATAAGAAATGCTTGATGTCCAACTCCTAAGCCACTAAACTAAGAAGTCATACATCTTGCGTTATTTAAATATTTTTTAAATTTTTGTTTGGAATATACATCCTTGGTCCTCGATTTCTGATAACTTTGTTGATATCCAGTTAGCATTATATTAACCTTCTCGCGTGTTGCTCAGTTTAACTTGAATCAGTTGACTTTCAACAATTGTGTATTATTTCATTATCATTGAATTGTGACCAAGTACCACTGACGTTTTTAACTGATGTCTGAGCAATGTTTCTAATAGTGGTATTAATAACTGATGCTGTTATTACGACTATTTAGTTCTACGTTTTTTTTATATTTATTTATGGACAGCTAATGGTAAATAAAGAATATTGAAATTATGCTTATTTTCTATATGTTAATAATACATTATTTTTGTGTACCAATAATTATTAAATATATCAATAGTAGTAGAGAATAGTTGGGATGATTAAGTGTTTTACCTTCACAATCTAATATTGTCTGTCATCAACAATTTGCAAAAAGTCACTAAGTTCACTTTTAATCAAAATGAATTTTGAAATACCTTTGTGATTTTCGATCATATTCATCAATGCTAATATTAATTATGTTCTTCACAGTAAGATAAACTCTATTATTTATCTAAAATATTTATAATAACTGCATAATGTTTTGATTATACATAAGAAATTGCCATTAAATTATTTAATATTATCAAAGGTTTAGCTAACCTGAAGATTAGATGGTGATATTGATCACTATTGAGTCATCTTCATCCGCCAACCACTGACCACTGTCCAAAGCGCACCTTACAAGATTGGACTTGACACAATCCGCCCACCTTTATGGTTATAGTGTTAAGCCCATACTGTTATGGACACAACATAACGAGGATCATTATTTCAATCTTTACAAATGGCAGTAATGTTGCTAGTATAGAAAAGAACAAATAAAGGTGAAATACATGTAGTCCAAAAGTTTTATTATGAAAATAAACTTCTTTCTTTCCTGCCTTTGCATTCATGTCTAAAATTATTTTATGATTATTTTTCATGTCTACCTAAAATTATTTCCTTGCGATTTTGCTGGATATGTAGATCCTGTTTATTGTATAAACTTTGCATTTGACTTTATTATCACTGTCTTCGGTGAGACAATGTATGTTTATCAACATAATAAATTTAACATGACCAACATCCCTTAGATTTGTCCCCCGAAATCCCATCACTAACATAATGTATGTTACTCAAAGTGGAGAGCTATCGATTCCATGTCCCATAGCTATCCATACCTAAATCTCTAATTTTCAACTGACACCATGAATCCCCTAAAGCAGCCCCTTTCTGATGATCCAAAAGGGAAACTATTATTTCCATATTATAAGTGTTTAATCTGAAGGAGATCCATTCTATAAGTTGTATTTTGTGAATTTAATATATGTGAAGAGGGTTTTCAATCCTACTTCGCACCCGCTAGTGAGCCTTGGAGTTGTTCTCATTGATGAACGTTGAGTCCTAGCCAGGAGAAGTTTCTACCAACCATACCCACATCCGCCATCCGTAATGAGATCCCACATCCGGTAATGTGAACCGCGTGAAGCATTAAATTACTTGATCATTTAATTTCTAAATTGTTACTGTATGACTTTGTAATTAACTGATGATTCTGTCATAAGTTTCTGCATCACTTATGAATTGCTTAGTTTCCTGTTGTTATGAATCCTCATGTTAATACTGAATAGACATTACCTTCCTCTTTTGTTATTATTAACTCGTGTATGTTTTTATCAATTTAACGTAATTATTCTAATAATTTTTTATTATTATTAAAATTAATTTATGAAATAGTTAAAACTACATAATATTTTGGCAAAGCTTGAAGTTAATCTTTGTTTCATAGGTAATGCATAAGTTAATATAAATTAAATATTTGTTATAGATTTAGTTTACTGATGGTGATATGTCCAGGAGCTTGCCAGAAAGAGTTGGGCAGCTATACTATAGTCATGGTGTGCTTTGTGCCGGACATCCTGTCATTGTTATTCTCTTTACAGCAGCAGTTGTCATATTATCATGGTAAACAAACTACATAAAGTTCTTTGGGTTATTTATCAACACCCCATTTTGTTATTCTATCTCAAAAATTAACAAATAATAGCTCTGGAGCCAAATAATAAATAAACCAATACAATTAATTTTAATATTTTAGAAAACCTACTTTAGATCCACATTTTTGGTGCTACTTCACAAGTGTCATATCTGTATGGCGGCAGGCAAAGATGTTATTGATTATACTGTGTAAGAAATACTGTAAGCAACCAAGTATGTTCGATAAACTGATGAGTTTTGAAAGCTGAAAAAACTAACTTAATTTCACACTCTATGTACCTTGATATTTACTCTGAAAGAATAAATTATCTATGGGACAAAGAATGCCCAAAATGTAGTTATTTAGATTTAATGATATTGACAGTCATGTTTTCAAGTAATGATAGATTAGAAATAAAAGAATCTATCAACTAAATGCCTTCAAGCTTTGACGAATTAAAGATTAATTAAAATAGATTAATTTTTGTCCAACAGACAGATTGTTATAATACTCAATAAAGAAATTTAAAAAAAAAAAAAAAAAAATAGATAGCATCAATGACGATAATGGTCTGTTGGAAATATAACACTTGCGAAGTAATACCTCATTTATTTGTTTATTTATAATTATGTCAATTAATTGTCTGACTTCTGCGTACCTCTCTAATTGCTTACAAGGCTTGATTTCCAACTTTTGTTTGTATGACTTGAAAATTTTTTTTTTTATATTGCCTAAGCCAATTCTGTTTTAATATTTTTCATGTTTTATTATACTTGGATTAATCAGCAATAGCAAAATTAAAACAAATTTTAATTTTAATGACATTTTTAGATTGGTCACTGTACTATTACTTTTCCAGGAATTATTTTAGGTTTTGGTCATTTGAGCTAAAAATAAAGTTCTAGTCTCTGATGTGATAAAGAAACCATAAGCAGAGGTCAGAATGTTCAAATAGTTTTTATTTACATCACAATATTTCCTTACATAATAATACTTATTTTATTTTACATTTATTTTGTAATCTTTTTAACAATCATGATGAATTTTGAGAATATTATGGCTTTCAATAAATTTTCATTTTAAAATCCGATTTCAGTCTTCCATTGACCAACCTCCCACTTCCAAGTAACATTCCTCAGATAGTGATAGAGTCAGACAATATAACAGATCTTCCACGATGGTACTCGGAACAACCAGTCTACATCCAACAGGTATGTCTGAAATTAAATTTATTTTATTTACTTAAATTTTTTTCTTTCATTTTAATTATAATTATAATAATAATATAATTAATTATAATTATAGAATAATGGTTTTTTATTTATCCACCCCCACTTTAGCAGGGATATCCCTATATCATGGGTGGTTTCATTTTTCCTTGCCAATCTTCTTTCAAGCTCATATCTCCATGTCATGATTTTTGGATATTCTATACCAGAATGAGATTTCTGATTATAGATTTAATTACAGGTTATTATGAAGAGTGCTGTTGCTCCTTGGACCAAAGAAATGCAATTAACGGATGCAATAAGGGGACCCTTAGCAGAAGTGTTTACTCTCAAGGAAATAATCCAAAATTATCAACACCCAAAGTATTTATTATAATTACATTTGTTTTTCTTAATTCTTAAAATGCTTAGCACTTTAGAATCTGGTCATTTTATTTTCTGTTTCATTGTTAATACATGACCTGTCTACTATTACGTTTACTTAATATTGGATGTAGTCTTGTTTAATGCAAACACAAGATTAATCTTTTATTTTTATTATTTACTATTGATATTTAATTATTTAATCTTTTTTCCATTTATTCATACTCACATTTAATAATGTTCTAGCATATATATAATACATTGCAAGAAATAGAATAAATTTTTAGACTAGTAACAAAAGAATCTCTACAAGGTTTATATGCATTGTGCTCACTGGTATATTGTGTGAAGGATAGATTAAAGTGAAGGTGGGAGGATTGTAATTCAATCTAAACAACCTTTCTCTGCATAATAAGGTCACTATCGAATGGGCACCAGGACATTATGCTATTACAGTTAACAAAAAAGCTGACAAACTAACCTAAAAATAAACTAAGCCTAAAAAACTAGCCTGCAAAGATTCTGTAATATTCCCATAACATGAGAGCAGATTAGGAAACAGCTACTTTCTTGGCAGTTTCTTAATGGTCTTGGTCCAATAAGGAGCAATATTTTGCTCCACATAAGCAGGATTTCTCTCAGCATAATTACAGTGTTCTATACAGGTCACTGCAAACTAAATTATTTGTTCAAACTCGGGTTAACAGTTCTCAGAGCATTTCAGTTTTCTATAGTGATTGGTAGTATTAGCATTCAACCTTTGGGTTCGTTTAGCCTTTACTATTGTTATTATTTTATATATATATATATATTAGGACCATTAGCTTAGACTTCAGGGAGTGGGATAGCTCAGTGGAGAGAAAATAAATTTAGTGATCAAAATGCCTAAGCAGTATAAGTGTTTATATAAATATCTAATTAGCATGAAGACAAAAGTAGACATTTTTAAAAAAAAAAATATAATTATTTTACTTAACTATTACTGTTTCATAATCGATTATCACTTTTTGAATTGAATTGTATCCTTATACATCTTATATTATTTATTAAAATAAAGTTATTAAAATTAAAGTCCTTTAATTTTTTTTCCTAATCAATGTCAAAAGTTTTAGCTTAGATATTCGGTTGAAAAATAGGGATTTTCTGATCTCAAAATCATTGAAATACGGATGGTTTTGATAATAATTGCACTGCCAGTCATACCATGAAACACGTAGCTTCTATTTTTTGTGATGCTGTTCTCTTAGTGAATTTTTCATATTTCTGACAAAAATATCTTTGATTTAATCATTTAGTAATTTAGTAAATAAACCTAAGTTATGCCAGTTATATTACTATCTTGTATATTTATTGAAATAATTCTATATTTACTAACCTGAGATTTTATTGTTTTAAATTAGAAGCAGAGTGAGCCTGGTTGATGTTTGATATTTCTGACAAAAATATCTTTGATTTAATCATTTAGTAATTTAGTAAATAAACCTAAGTTATGCCAGTTATATTACTATCTTGTATATTTATTGAAATAATTCTATATTTACTAACCTGAGATTTTATTGTTTTAAATTAGAAGCAGAGTGAGCCTGGTTGATGTTTGTGCACACGTAGAAGCCCCGTCTAAGTCAAGTTCACTACCACAGTACAATTGTTTACTTGTCTCTCCAGCCAATTTTTGGGGCCAGGACCCTATGCAGTTCTATAATGACGTTTCTTTAGCAGCTACTGTTTATGCTCAATATGTAAGTATCAATGTAACCTACTTTGTTAAAAACAGTAAAGTGTGAGTAACAATGATATTAATTATATGTTATTATCTTTATATATAATGCTTAATTACTATTTTAGAAATGGGGAAATAGTTGACAGTTGAAATTATAAGGATGAAAAATGGTCAGGATTCAAAGTCAAAAACATAAAGAATATGTTTTAATCTTTTTATTTTTAATATTATCTTTCTTAACAAGTTAAAACCCATTATCTCTAATTGTTTACTTTTACAGCAAGACTAAAATAATGAAAAGTATTTATCTTTATTGAAAGGAAAAGTTAGATCACAGTTTAAATAGCATTTTCGGTTAGGTTATTGAAGTGATCTTTAACTTGTGAATTTTAAGTTTCTATGAAAGGAGAAAATTGTATTGTTGAAAATTTTGTGGAGGACACAGAGTTTTCTTTTGAAATACAGTCCAAAAATTAATTATCATTTCCATCTTGTGGTAAGGAAAATTATTTGCCATCAGGAATAAATGATAAAAATTCATTTTTTGTTATTTATTTAAATATTTGTTCTATGGGATATCTTTGTAAATAAGTCAAATCATTGTGTTTTTTTCATTTAGTTTTTAATTTCACTAACGAAAGTTTTCCACTTGTTTTAAATTATACAATCCTTGTTACATCCTTTGTTTACAGAGCACACAACTGGGTAAAGCACCATTGTCAGAATTATTATTTGGAATGGGTCTCAGAGAAGCTGGAATGAAAAGATATCCTTTACGAAACAGACAGCGGGTATTGCAGTTTGCTGTCACTTTTGTTATGACAAAACTTGATTTAGAGTAAGAACTTTGTATTAAGTAATATTTTAAAACCTTATCAATAGTAATCATTGAGAAGAAAATTTTATTTCGCATGCAGAAGACTAGCTACTGGTAATCATTTTAAACCTAATCGACTCATGAGGAACCACGAGTGTGTAAAACTGATGGTGCAGTTGATGGACACAGTGTTTTTTACGCTCACAATTGTTTCACGTTTCATTTAATATTCAAAAGTTTTTAGTAGTCAGTCTAATTCATAGTTAGTAATTAATTATTTACTTAAAGATTAACAATGATAAAATAAGTAAATATATTTGCACAATCGTTTTAACTAATTTGGTAATTTTTTTTTTTTGTTTTCTTACCTTCCTTGTCTTTTAAGATATATGGGGTTTTTCTCGGGCTAGGGAGAGGACAGCAGATTAATGGCAGAATTTAAAGCCCTCCTGTCACCGGGACACAAACTCGTAATTATTTTATCTTCAGTTGACCAGTTTTTTCGTGTGTGAAGGCATCCAACTACTACTACACCAAGTTTTTATAATCAATTCCTATTTCAATTTTATAATCAATATTCCCCTAAAAAGTTCAGGCATTATATTGCTGCTTGGATACCGGGGAGGAAATAAGATCGATTGAGAAAGGTGACACCATCGAATACCTAGGATATTGTTTCTTCTGTGAGCTGGAATTTGATGATACATCTGTGAGTAGGATGAATCGAAATATGGAAAAACTAGTCAATTCAAATCTCTTCAAGCCGGATCAGAAACTTAACATAGTAAATGGATATGTTTCCTTCGTTGGTATACCCACTGCAAATGGCGCCTCTGACGAAATTGCCCTTATCTTTATTAGAAGCTGTTCACGTAATAATACGAAGAAGCGTAAAGGCGATGATGTATATGCGGCGTTACAGGGGACTGGGTCTGTTGCGGTGTCAGTAGGAGGCTCCTTTCCAATACTGGTCTATTTCATAAAAACTGGCCAATGTACCTGATGGCCTTAAGGCAATTTTCCATTTTTGGGATGAAGTCGTCAGGCATCAATCGGTCAAGAAAGTGAGGCAGTCCTTGAGAGAAAAGTTGTTTGAGGATTGGTGCAAACGCAAATGGCAGAGAATAGTTATGCGCCACATTAAGTCAAACCAATGGGCAAACAAGTTTATGTGTGACCGCAAGGATCTAATGGGCTCAGAGTGGACAAATACGTTGTCAACTATGCTCCCCTTTGTGGAATGGAGATGTTGGACCCCTCTACCGCAAATGTGGCTGAGAGTCAGAAACCCCAGCTCATGTCCAAATAACATACTCCTTATCACCCGCCGGCACAATAATGTAAAGCATTGAATTGCCGAATTCCTGGAGACGAAAAAGTACTGTTACAAGAAAGGTACTTTTAATTAAATAATTAATTAAGGAGAAAAAATCTGGCGGTTAAGCATGATCTCAGTCCGATTACCTCCCTACACAACCGTTGACCTAGTAACAGTACTTTCTTACATTGTACTGAACCCAAGACCCTCCATGGGTTGTTAGTGGTCAGGTTTTTTTTTTTGGTTTTTTTACATTATTTAATAACATTTATTTGGTTAAGGTTTATTTATTGTACCTACAAGTGTGAGGATTTTGAGTGCATATTGCTCAGAAGTTTTTAATTAATTTTATTTATGACTAGTTTTGTCTGTGGTTCACTTTTTTATATTAGGATTACACCTGGCTTTATAACTGAAATAATACTTACAGTATTTCAGCAAAGTCGATATCTTTAGTTCCCTCTCCTTTAGGCATACAAATATTCTAGTTTTCTGTGCAAATTGATCAATATAAAGTAACATATCTGTACCTTGGAACAATAATGATCAGTGTCTAAAACTTTGAAATTTGAATGAACTGAAAAAATATATTCAGTTCAAGCATTCCATCGCTCTTGAATTCCATTTGATTGAAGTGAGCAAAATTGTGGCCAGCCTGATATTGTAACTTGTGAATTGAGTAATCATTGTCATCATTATCTATCACTTAAAAGTTTTTATTTCTTTATTTAGAATTATAACAATCTGTCACGTGGACAATAGTTTATAGTGATACATTCACACCATATATACAGAAAATATAAAATTAATAAGAGTAAAATAATAATCAAAAACTATGTACGATAAAAAAATAAAATAACCTTAAGATAAGTAAATTAAAAAAACATAAAAACACAGTCATATACAATTTTATACAAATAAAATTGTTGACAACTTCTAATCACTCAAGTTTCATTATTTTATTATTTTTCTAAAATAATGATAGTATTAATATGAAATTCAAATTTTTTAAAATAATAGTACCTGAAGAACCTTTTGAAACAAAATTTATATTTCATTTTTAGCCTTTTGTGTTTGTTTTATTTAATTGTAACATGATAATATATTATATTAATACTCTCCAGGAAAACCATTATTAATTAAGTGTTAAGGAAAAAGCACCTGAATAATTGTCTTTTATTTCCAAAACTTGAATCATAGATTTTTGAATCATAAGACAATCATTAATTTCAGGAGCACTGACACTGTTGACTATTATCAATTTAATTAATGTTTGAAAAGTAATTTGATTAAAATTTTTGCAATTTCTCAGAGTTATGTGGAATTTAATCTTAATTCAAGTTACAAGTATTTCTAGTAATTTTTAGTGGTCTAATAATGGCAAAATATTGAAATGCCCTTGTCAAAAAATGTATAAAATGTGAATGAATATTCCTTGTTTTATGAAGGTATAGTTTATTTATGTGCTAATTTAATAAGTTGAAATATTTTGAAAAGGTAAAGAATTTCTCTTTATATTTTATTAGACCATTCATTTATGTTTTTTAGATACCTTGATGGTTTAAGAGAACATTTAAATGGACATTATCCACTCCTTAAAGAAAACTTTACCACAAGTAAGTGATGAATGATGAAACTTAGCATATTTAAATTCTTACTAAGGTAATATCTTATTTTAATGTTGATTAAAAATATGTATGACATAAGCATGATAAGATCCAACTTAATTATCACATTTATAAATAAATGTAAATAATTTACAAATTTAAGGTTTGGCCCTCATAAGAAGGAACCTACCTTGAGTTTGGGGTTGTGTTTATATCAGAAATGTAAATATGTATATGCTGGGCCCCAATATTACCCACATACAAATATGGTTTATTATGTCCTAACACTTTTTTTATCTAGTATATCTGGTATAACTACTCGCACAACATTTATTGCTTTAGATGGAAGGTCCAATACAAAATGGTTTGCAAAATCTTTGGTGATATTGGTCCTTATTTTTAATTTAATTTTTTTTTTCCCTCAACTACCTTGCCTTTTTGCCCGAGATTTTCTTCAACCAGGGGAGAAGGTGGGGAAATTATGCCAGAGTCAAAGTTAGCTTTCATCCTTTGTTTTATAAGTTGATGCATTTGCAGTATTTTTTTTTTTTATCGAAATTTCAATACTGATACATTGATATTTTTCCAACATCCCTAATTTCGATATATCATTTAAAATATTCAATATTATGTTGTAGTTACACACATATCTATTTGTATTAGTGATGCAATGGATACCAGGTAATATGGTCACTTAAACACCAAGTACCCGGAAAATTATCTGTGATAGATAAGTCAGATAGAGTCTGTCTAAGATAAGTTTGCTGATGAGTAGAGGGGGGAAGAGGTGAGCAGTGACAAAACGTTTCCCCCCCTCTCTCACTCTTTTGCCTTCATTCATTTGTATGTACTTCTACAATTTTTTTAAAAGTTTCTCACCTTTTTTTTCATTTCTTATACGAAATTAGAATTTAGAAGAAAATCGAACATCGAAAAGCGTGTTTCTAGTATGAGGGGATTGCTAGGGACAGTAGGGGAGGGGAGGTGGAGTTTAATAGAGGAAAGGCTGCACGAGCTCCCTTCTCCTACAAGCAAACTTATTTTAGACTCACTATACAACTTGTAAAACATTCAAGTAACTGGCACACAATGTAACACTGGGGTATTACTCAATCTTTGCTTTTTTGCTCAAATTTGCGAGGTCACTCAAGCATTGGCTATGTCACATGGGAGGGGCACAGCTCAGAGATGTAAGTTTCCAATTTAACGCATATATCAGTATTTAAGGAACAGCTGAAACAATATTTGTATGCATTACATGAATTTCATTAATATTAGTTTTTGTCTTTTTATAGATTCAGTTCTACACCTGCATTACCTAGGTGATTTTGATTGCCATGAGTTCCTTCCGCTATTTTGTACATATTTGGCCCTTTTCTTGTACATGTACTTCTCTGTGAGAAAAATAGAACTTGTACGTTCAAAAGTAAGTAGATAACTTTTTTATTAAATTAATTTAATAATATGTATTAAAAATTTGTTCAGATTTCTACTTTGATTGAGTATTTTTGTTGAAAATAATAAACATTTTAATCTGAAACATTTTCTATCTGCTTTAAAATACCTAGAACATGATTATGAGATCGTTAGAGATGTCAGCTTTAAATTAGCTGAAATTCTGTATGTACAGTTGTTTTCTTGCCAGAACTATACCATAAAAGTTTGGATGAATTTCTTAAAAATTTCATTGCGTCCAAATGGTTTTTCCATTTCTATTCTGTTTTTAAGTATTAAACGTCTCTACAGATCCTCCTATAAAGTTACAAGGTTAAAACTTTGTATGTTAATTAAGTCAGTGTTGGAGAAGTATCTTGAGGGGATTCTGTCACCCTCCACCATTTTGTTTCAAGATATTTTAAAAAAACATGTTTCTATAGACTTATAATAAATGTATAAAACATGCTTCGCTGAAAAAACTGGAAACAAAGATTTGATGATCACAAAATATTATTTTCGAATAAATCAAAATGTACCCAAATTTTTCCCTAGGTGTTAAAAAAAGTTGATGTGTTGATTGTGTAATAATTTGCAACACTAAAGTTCTAATCGGTTTTCTTAGTTAAGCATCCATCTATCTATCTATCAGATAGTGCTACAACTCTGTGATGGTTTCTGGCCTCCTCTATAACCCTCCGCCATTTGGCTAGGTTTTGGGCTGCTGCCTTCCAAGCAGGTTTCGTGGGTCTTGTACCACGCCATCCATCCACCAGAGCTTGGGTCGTCTGACTCTTCTTGGACAATGAATTTCCTATTCCATGACTCATTTAGGCATTTCGTCGGGACTCGTGCAACATAACATTTTATATAAATGAACCTTTGTTTTCCTGCTAATGAGCTTGCTCCGGAACTGTTTCAACAGACTAAAATAGTATTGATTAGCTGTGGTGATCCTTTGCTTTATTTCAATGGAAACATTATTTGTTGCTTTGACCTGAGATCCAAGGTACATAAACTCCTCCACTCTCTCGTAAGTACAGCTTCCTAAGACGACCTTTCTTGAGGTCTGGCTCCTCCGATATACATATATTTTGTTTTTGTTTTCATTAATAGCCAATCCCATACGTGCGGCAGTTTTATGTAGGCTTAAGGAAGACTCAGTAAGCGCAGTATAGGATCTAGCCACTGTATCAAGGTCATAACTGAGCAGTATGACCAATCTAGTGAATATTCAATAGTTAAGCATGAATTTAACAATTAAATCCTTTTCGATATTTATTTCAATAAAAATACAATCTCAGTGACACAGCTCTATTATTCTATTCGACTCACAATTTTATTTTATAAAAAATAAGTGTTTTGTCAGGGTAGCTGCAGTATTTTGATAGTTACTATCAACGTTCAAAAGTCTCCTCACAAGACACTAAAGTCATTATTTTTTAATTGGCATTGTATTTATTAGTTATTATTTTGTTAAATAATATTTGATTTTACTGTTATCTATAATTCTCTATGAAATTCTTTATGGTTTATTTATTTTAATTTTTTTGTATATATATATAGGTTGGAATGGCTCTTAGCGCTGTTTGTACAGTTATAGCATCACTACTTATGTCTATCGGTCTCTGTTTTTTTTTTGGATTGGATCCTGCTGGCAGTAGTCGTGGTCGTGAGGTTAGTACTTATCTTATTATTGTAAATGTAATTTGGACTCTTCTATTTTGCTGAAGTTGTAATTATTCTAAATCATAGAATTATTTTTGTTTCACAAAAAAAAAATTATTTCATTGGTTTTTGTCTCAACACCGATTAATGTTTATTATTAAATTTTAGTCACTCGATGTTGAAAAAGTTTGTAGTTATTTTCAGAAAAATTCTATTGTTCTGTTTGACTGATTTGTGTTACATTTCTTCTTCTTCATGAATTTATATATAAATTTAAACTAACAATGTAAACCAATCAATAATTTAATTCAAGCATTGTATCCGTTAGTCAAGTATCATAACTAATAATGGAAGGGAAATTAAGCAAATAAAATTAAAATTAATAAATCAAATTACAAATTGCTATTGTTTTTTACAGTCTAACATTTTTGAAAACTAATCACGGTTAGCACTAATTGTCAATATATTCTCTTACAGGTAATGCTAATTAGTAAAATAAAAGGTAAGGAATGAATTCATTGTACAAACCTGGTCCTCAAAGGTTAAATATCATAACTACCTACCATATTGGAAATCTTAATCTAAAGCAGATATTAGTTTATAACCACCCTTCTTTTATAATTATTACTGTCATAATTTTTTATCTAGAATACTTAAAAAAGTTTCGTTAATATTTATCATGTAATTGAATAGTTAGCCTTCATAAAATACAAAATGTCTAATACTAGTTATGACAAATACTTTCAAGATAAGAAAATATAAAGAAGATAGTTGGCCTTTGAGGTATAGAAGTAATTTAGGATTTAACATATTTTAGGATTTCAGGAAGACAAATAAATATTAAGATTTTTTAAAATAAAAAATTAAAAATAAAGATTGTTTTTGATTTGACATAACATTGTTTAATATGAAACAAAATATAATTTTCATTAAATTATATATGATTCATTGACATTTTTTCATTAAATTGTTTTTCGAAATAACTCAATTTTTTTAGTGATGTACCGTTTTCAAGTCAATGGTATAATGGTAATATTTCTATTTCAAATGCATCCCTTTCCTTTTCTAATATAACCCTCTTTCTAAATCAAACATGACCTTTTTAAAATCAAATGTAACTTAATCCATTTCAAATTTAACTTTTTCCAATTCAAATTCACTGTCTAAATAATATGGAACTTTTTCCATTTCAAGTGTAAACCAAAGGACATTAATTAATTCGCATATATTGTTTTATTTACTTTTTTGTGTAAAAGTAATTATTTTCAGTTCATTGTCATATTATTGTTATTTTTATTTTATTAGGTAATTAATATTAAAATTTCAACTATTTAGGTAAAAGATTTGCAAAAACAAAAATGTTATTTTTATATTTTTTGGAGGGAGAGAGGTGTAGATTTCATCGATTTAGTGATCTTGCATTGGGTTTTCAAATTTAGTATTGAAATTTCGTCTGACCATAAATATTTATAATTAATTATTTGTTTAATATAATTCTTCAGTATAGATATAATTTTTTATGTTTTCCAGAATGCTGAATCCGAATTTACTCTGCGATTGTCTATCATGTATGCGTAATTATATTTACTGTTAAAGTTTTATTCGATATTTAGATCATTGATTTTGTTCTAAAGGATATTGAATCCAAATTTATAATGGGATTTTGATCCTGCATCTCATTTCAAATTAATGTTAGTTTAGATTTTTTTTTTTTCGACACAGATGTCACTTTTTATCATTCGAGGATGCTTATTTATGATTTTATATTTGGATTTTCAATCATGCATACGAGATTATAATATTGATGGGAGTGGGAAAATTAAAGAATGTTTGTTTAGCGGATGGAATAAAACAAAAGAAATAAAGGAAAAGATCACCGATGAAAAATGGGTCACTAAAATTGTTATTGAAAAATATACTTGCAGTTATTACAAAATTATTGAAGCATATGATTAATGACATATCAAAATCATTTGTGGATTCAAAATAATATGTTGTCTTGTTTTTTCCTCTTGATTGTTTACTTTTTATTAATTTGCATTTAACTTGTTCTTGGGTGATAGATAGTCAGGATGCAATCAGTTTTTAAGATTTTTATTTGCCGATGTTTCCACCCAAGCTTGTGGGTCATCATCAGGTATTGTTACGAGCACTGGAGATGTTCAAGTACTCACTTGACTACAACACAACTAGTACTTGAACACCTCTAGTGCTCGTAACATGACCTGATGATAACCCACAAGCTTGGGTTAAAACGTCGGCAAATAAAAATCTTAAAAACTGATTGCATCCTTACTATCTGTCACCTATGACATGTAGAGCAGTCGATTAACTTACTTCAATTAACTTGTTCTTGTGATTTTATATATTTCTCATTTATTTATTTATTTTTTTCAATTTAGGTGTTTCCCTATTTAGTTGTTGTTGTTGGACTGGAAAATATTTTGGTTCTGACAAAATCAATTTTATCTACTCCTGGGCATCTTGACTCAAAAATAAGATTAGCTCAAGGTCTGTCGAAAGAAGGCTGGGGAATCACTAAGAATTTGCTAACTGAAGTCACAATCCTCACTATTGGTTTGTTCACACTTGTTCCTTCGATCCAGGCAAGTAATTATTATCATTGAATGAAATGTAACTTTAATTAAAACATGAATTATATTTTATACTGATGTACATACAGACATGTTATCAGGAGATGTATGTATTAAAATTGAAATATTTTAATATATTAATTGATATAAATGTATTTTAAAGTTCTTGAAAATGGCTCTAGGTAGTCAAAACATTCGGAATAATAAAGAAAGTTAAGTAAAGAGAAATTTTAGTGACCATAAATAAAAAGGAAAAATCTGGTGTGTGCAACACACAACTTTCACTTGCCTCTCTACTTTAAATAGAAATTATTTTCTGGCAATGTCGGGCTATTATAAATTTGTTGAAATGCATTTTAGACAGAGCTAAAGCTTACAGATAACAAATCATTAAGACCATTAAAATTACAAAAAATGTATTTATTATATCGACAGTAGGCAATAAAAATCTAATTTTATAAACCACACAACTTCAGGCTCTCATCCTTTCAGTTGACAGAATGACAAACTTCAATTTCAACATTTTTGAGTAATGTCATTTTAGTGATATTTATAGTTGGAAAAGTTATATCTATAAAGACAGTGAACAAGTTGATTCCAGAGTAGGTGATTGGAGTGTTGAAATATAGAATTGTTAATAAAGATATAAAGTTGGCCACTAGAAACATCACCAAAATTAATAATAAAGAATGTTGAAATTGGAGTTAGTCATTCTGCCAACCGAAAGGCTCATATATGCCTAGAGAGATTTGAAAGTACATCTTAATATTTAACCTATAAATGATTATGGATTGTAGGTCTATTGGTTATTAAACTGTTATTTTCCATAGTACAGTTTACTAAAATGAAATTACGAAATTTTTATTGCTTGCCATGGATAGGTCATAAATGGTCATACTAATTGTAAGTAGATAATTTTGGGTTTTCACAAATGGAAAATTCATCACATTATTAACTAATTTAATTTTCTAAAAGTTTATCTGATGATTTTTTGGAATAAACAGCCAATAGAAATCTGATTATTTAAATTCAATATCATATCTAGAGTTATTAAACTACAGCAAAAGTATTTAAGGTTACAAACATATCAGTAGATGTTAAGTTTGTTAGTTAAGAATAATTTGAAGCATTTGTCGACTAACCTGGACAATAATCCATATCGTCTATTCAGTGTAGTATGAGTTCTCCAAATCGGTCACTTGTCCAAGGGAAATTCCTAATATCGCATTTCTTCAGATATTTTTTTTCAGCCTTGTTCGTCTTATTTCATCATGTAGTTTTCTCATTAGTTTGTTAAATTTGGGGTTTTCTGTTGGATTATATGCACTTTAATGTAAAATTGAAATTAAATTGTGAAAATTTTATCTATTATAAGTACTTAAACGAGTTTCAACCTATTATAATTAGAGATTAATTAATTATAAAAAAATCACATATATTTCTCAGTTGTTTGAATAGAGAAAAGCTTGTATTGAACTGTTTCTCTGTTGACATAGGATTTTTTTAATTTTCTATAGTTTGCACGTCTATTTTGATTTGACAATTTTAATTGTTCATTAACTTTTTACAATTTGGTTACTTTGTGATATTTTTTTTAATGTTATATATTTATACATATATATGCAGGATACATTATTTAATGAGAACATTTTTTTTTATTCCAGGAATTCTGTATATTTGCTATGGTTGGCCTCCTGTGTGACTTTTTCCTTCAGATGTGTTTTTTTTCGACTGTCCTCTCCCTGGACATGGCAGGTTCAACCTTAGATAGTGCTATGATCGGAGAAACGCCACAAGAAATTGTTCGACCTTTGCCTAGGACTCGCTCTACGCCTCGTCTTGAGGGAAAGGTGCCAAAGAGGTTATAGTTTCATTTCAATAACAATGGTCACATTTAGTGAAGTATTCACTTGAGGTCCAAAATTTGTCTATTATTTGCTTTCCTTGTGTAACATTGCATTAATAAAGTTTGTTTTGTTTACAAAGAGCATCTAAGGTAATCATACTAGTAAAAGACAATTTTCATCCAATTAACAATTTGATACGCTTTTATTAAGAAATTTAGCTTTATTGACTATATAGATAGCTCAAATACAAGTAGGTTCACAGGTAGAATACTTTATAGGAGGATGATCCCTGAACTGAAGTGACATACCATTTGCAAAGATTTATTATCAGAACTAAAACTGTGTTTAACATTTTTTTTTTAAATTTCTCTTAAAGTGTCTATTACCGGTACATTTACCTTAGTATGTGAGAAAAAAATGGGGAAGCGATTTATATTTAAAATTAAAACCCGTATTGGCTGTTCCATTTTGTCCATCCAAAGTTTTGTTAAAGTTATTAGTTGCAGATATTGCACAATATTTCTGTAATGAATAATAACATCATAACCATATTTTACAAAAATGGGATAATACCTATTTGGTTGAAACATAAATGTTTGAGATAAAGATGTTTATTGGGAAGAATAAGAATTTAAACATTTTTGGTAATTCATCAGGGTATCGTTTCAATACAATAGTTAAAAAAAAAAATCAGAAACTCCATAGTTTTTTTTTTTATTCTATTACTTTAACTGTATTTAAAATTTATTAATATTACCTTTAGAATTAATTAGTAGTGATAGTAGTTTAGCTTTTACTATTGGAATTTAAAATTAATTATAATTAAGGGTATCATTTATATTCTTTTTTATCTATGATTCTACTTTGAGTAGAATTTTGAAAGCCTCTTATAAATGATTAATTACAGAGAATTTCATAAAATATTGCTCATGTCGAATTATGGAGAAGTCGTTTATATAATAAAATTATTGACAACGGATAGTTAATGTAAATTTGTCCAGTATACAAAAAAGTCCAATTTATGTAAATGTCTTCTACAGAAAGTTTCACTTTACACGAATGAAAATAAAATTATATGTTTTAAAATTATTTACTTTATTTGTTAAAGATAAATCCAAATATTAACTTTATTTTTCAGACTTCGCTTGGTGTTGTTTTGGGGTCGTACAAGAATTGTCCAGAGAGGATTTATGATATGCATGGTAGTGTGGATTGGTGGTTTCCTGTACAGTGCTGGTATTGTTCAGCATTTTGTTCAACCTGAGGTATTGCCTTATTACTTGAATCTGACAACACTAAAAATACGTTAAAATATCTATTTAACATCTTTAAGGCACACGATAATTTATTTTTATTGGTTTTTAATTTTAAGAAATCTCTACTATTAGTGTTGTGTGGGCATGGGGTCTCATTCGCTCTACTTATTTCTGATGAATTATAATTCCTTTTAATGCTTCTGTGTGAAGAATGTAAATTATTTACAGTGAAAAAGATTAGGCTTATCACCTCTATTATTTAAAATTTCTTCTTCCACCTGTTCGACTGACCATTACTGGTCCCTGGCCTCTTCCAATAATTTCTGCCAGTCTGCACGCTGTTGGGCAGTAGTTTTCCAGTCCCTGACCCCCAGGATCATCAGGGCATCGTCCGCTGCTACACCATCCATCCATCTAAGACGTGGTCTTCCTCTATGCCTGGTATTATGAATAGTCTCACTTATCACTTTTCTGGGGATCTCATCCTCTGGCATTCGAGCCACATGACCAGCCCACCTCAATCTTTCCAACCTTATAATCCTCACAATGTCAGGTTCATCAAAGGTTCATTTTTTCTTTATTACGCCTCCTGAAGTATGTTTGACTGAATCGCCAAGTTCCATAAATGGACCACAGAATACTTCTCTCAAAAGCCAATAAACGTGATATTAACGCATGTTTCGGAGCCGTATGTCAGAACTGGTCTGATCAATGTCTTATATAGCCGTAATTTTGTAGTTCTTGACAGATACTCCTTAAATATCTTCCTAGCCCAAAGTAACATTGGTTGGCGAAGACTTTTCTTCTCTCAATTTCCTTGGAGATGTCATTGCCCAGGTATATGCTAAAGTACCAGATTCGGAGGTCATATACTTGGTTTTCCTTGCATTATGAGTAGTTCCAGGTGTCCAGCTGTTGCTTCTAAAGCATGGCCTCACGAACTTCAGACTGGTATCTACCGACAATATCTAGGTTGCCTAAATAACCATGGTTCTGAACCATTCTATTAAACACCGTGCCAGTTATTTGGAATAGGTTCACATAATACACTATTGTAAGAAGCTTTGAAATCCACAAACAGATGATGCATATGAATGCAATATTCTCTACTTCGTTTCAGGATAATACTGAGTGAGGAGATTTGATCAACTTTTGCAGAATCCGTACTGATATTTTCCCAGTAATATCTCCTCATATGGTAGAAGTCGCATGTATAAAATGTTTGAAAATATCTTATAAGCGCTAGGCAACAGTGATACACCTTGATAATTTTTATATTGTCATCCCCTTTATTGTGGATTGGTCACAGTATTGACTTTGTCCAAGAGCTTCACTGATGTCCACACAGATAAAAAATAGGCTCTGTAAGGCTTTAACCAGATTTCCACCTCCTTTCTTAAAGAGTTCTGCGGGTAAGTCATGGATTCTAGGTGGTGCCTTATGGTTTCTAAGCTTCTCAATCGCATCACACACCTCATTCTCATCTGGAGGTTCAATCTCATTGCCTTCATTCCCTTCAGGTTTAGGATCAAATTGGTCAGCTCGACCTTGTTCGATGTTGAGTAGATAGTGAAAGTAGTTATTACCAGGTTATTACTCCTCATTACCAGGTCCATGCTTGTGAGAAGAGTGGCGTCTGTATCTACATGCAGTGATTCATTTTAAACACCTTTCACTCATTATTAATGCTTCTATCAAAATTCCGACAATCATCTGTTTGTCAACTACTCAACCTCCTCAAGCTGCTTATTCTCCCACCTTCGTTTCTTCCTCCTGTGCACTTATTTTTCCTCTTTCCTTCTTTTACGATAGGTATCCACAGATCTCACATCTCTTGTTTGTCTCTTTTGAAGTCTGATTCTTGACATCTATGACTCTTTTGTATTCCTCATCAAATCAGTTAGCTCTTCTATGGTAGCATTCCACTCCGATTGTTTCTTCTACAGCTTTCCTAACACAACTTAACTATGCTGCACCATATTTATTCTATCCCATAGGTACGACTAGAAAGAAGATCAAGCTTCAACGCATATCGTTTTGTTTCCTCGGGGTCCTAAAGCTTGTTGGTGTTCATTTTATTACTTCTTTGGCACCTTTTGTTTTTTACATTGGCGATTCTTTATTTATATTATATTCTTTATTATTTAAAATTTTGAGATAAATAAGTTTAAAAACTTTTTTCTTTTTTTTTCAAGGGTGGAAAAAAGTTAGAAAGATCTGGAAAGCTTTTTGGAAAATATGAAAGCATTCTTGGTAGAGAGAGTGGGAAGGTTATACTCGGCAGTGATGACAAGACTAAAAATATGTTTCCTGAGGTAAAATTGGGCTTTATGTTAAATTTATTTTATTACCTTATTTAATCCTACAAACTGTAGTTTTTAACTAATATATAGAGAATGATTGTTTACTTATACAAATTAACTCATTAATTTATTTGTAAATTTCTTTTTTATGAAATATGATTGTCCTTATTTTTAGTAGAATCACATTTTTTAATTTGATTTTTCATTAAAATTTAAATTTAGTTTAATGTAAGTATTTACAGTTTAAGTAAACTAAATTGCATGTTAAAGTAGTACTATGGTGATTAGTAATTAATAAGATTGTTATAATGTATTTTTTTATTTCTACGAGAGGGAGGGATTTTTAGAGCTGCTGGTAATGCACGACCGTTGGATCCTATAAAATGGTGTTACCTGGTGAGTGCGTACAACGCATCAAGTGGACCATGCCGATTAGCCGTTCTTCCTCCTTTTCGACTGTGTTCTGCAGTAAGCCCTGCCAGGGCTATCTCCCTTCGTAATCCTTTGGAAAAGCCCACACCAACATTTAAGTGGGACAAACTGGCGCTAGCTCTGGACCCGAGTGATGAAAGTATTGGTACGTAATTCATGGAAATATTTACTTGTTTATTTGTGAATAGAAATACCACATCAAATAGTGTAAATCTTAACACCTATTGTGTATTTTATATAAATGGAACTGCTTAAAACTTTTTTTTAAAAAGTTACACTTTATCAGTTCTAGTAGTCTACTTTTTTAAAATTAAGTTCTGAGTTTATAATAAAAGTTTTATTTAAATTAATGAAATAATTTATAGTTCAATTTGGATTTATAATTTAGTATTTGCTCATTTTTTTCTAATGATTCAGATTATAAGGAAAGTTCAGAAGAGAGAGGCTGGGGTGCTCCATATTTACCGACATCCCCTTTCGAGGTATTGTTGGTTACTGCTGCATCGGTTGTGTCAATAATTGTGATATCGTATACTGGTATAATGCTTTATCGCTGTGTTTGCTCTCGCCATTATGCAGATTGGAGAACTAAATCGTGGTGGTCTCGCACACGAGAACAGGTAATTTGTTTGTTTTATATAATAATGGCTAAGAATTATGACTTGAGATAACTTCAACTTCTTATTATTAATGTTGTTGTTAAATGATAATATACAGTTATTTAGGTTATATCAGTGTTCCTAGCATTCTGTGACAGCTAATAAAATAGACTTTCCCTTATCCAGTATTATTGTGGTAGACATCATGCTGAATAAAACAGTAATCAATTAATATGAAATTATTGTTAATGTTATCATGAACAAAATAGTTTTTTGTTTAGCAAAGAAATGAGGCATATCCAAAAAATTTAGTTCGTGAACCAAATAATTGTTTTTACTATATTAATCCATGGATTTGTTAAATAAAAACAATTTCACCTGGACAAAGAGACTAGTCTTGGTATTTTTTACAATCAAAGGTTACTTAATTCAATTTAGACTTTAATAAACATTATCCTTTTAATTTTAGATATTAGTTATTCAACATTAAATCATTGACATTTCTGAGCAGAATCATCTCCTTCAGGATTTATTTTTTATTCGTAACCAAATACTTTATTATATTCAATTATTCCTATCAAACGTTTTACATATTCAAATTCTTTTCAATAAACCATTTTAATATTTTTATTCAGTTTTGTTTTTATTGTACAACTGAATGTTCTAAAAAAAAAAAAAAAATTCCCTCTTTTAATATGTTTTAACATTTATTTTATTGTTTTAATATTATTCAATTTAGGTTGTTTTGGAAGCAGTTGCATTACCTTTAGAAGGAAAGGGACAAATAGTTGATGCAGTCGTCTCAGATGGAAATACTGTTTCTTGTTCATACTTATCAGGAGAAATTGATGTGTGGGATTCTCTTTCTGGTGAACCTTTGGCACATATTGACAGAGAAGTGTGAGTAAAATGAAATTATTACTTTTATGTTTGCTTATTGTACCTTGTTTTCACACACCCCTCTATAGATTTCAATAAAAATAAGGCATGGTGGACCTATGGAATAAATCTAGACTTTGTCACTATAGCTAGTAAACGTTGATTATCTGTAAATGCAGCTTTATACATCTTCTAAACACCAGAAATAGAAAAGGGGGTTTTACATGCTTATGTTGTATCAAAAAAGAAACTGTGGAAATTGTACCAGTGATCACATTTCCCCTAAACTGTTGTTATTTTAAAAGGAAATGAGATAAAATGGAAAAAGAAGATGAAGAAAATTTACATTATCGTACTAGAAAACCATCAAATTCAACCGAACCTCTCAAGAAACACAACACTGGCACTTACTGCAATTCCCGTTTATTTGAACTGAAAAACTGACAGCAGGAGAACAGGTAACAAAGTCTTGCCTAGGAAAACTTCATTTTTACAATCTTGTGTTTCTGATGATTTGGGTCTGATTTCTGATGATCTGATGAAATGTGTAAACAAGGATTTAGATAATACATCAGTGAATAAATAAACATCTCAAGAAGAAAATTTCAAAGCAAGTTCAACACATTGGGCTGCCAAGTTTTATCACACACAAATTAACTCATAATTGGCTTCATAAAGGGCTTTTAGTTGCATAAGCCGAGAGATGTAACTATAGAAAAATATTTTGATTTATTGGGACTCCATATTTTAATCTTTGAAAAACTGAGAGATGTCAATATCAAACAATGATATTAATAAATATAATGTCGATGTATTGATATATATCGAAATATCAATTTAAAAATCTATAATTTGAGCTTAGATGTTTTTAATTTTTGATTTAAAGATTACTTTGAATTGTTATTATTATAGTTATTGGCGAGTTATATAACTTTTTTTTTTCAGATATTTTGGTAATCTAGAAAACTCAGATATTGAAAATGCTCATCATTTGTCCAGTTCTCCAAAAAATGACAAAATGTAAGTAGTATACTTTGGATTATTTTCATCTTTAGAATTTTTTTTTTTTCTGTATTTACCTTTAAATATGTTTATTATAACTAATTAACAATAAGTTGACCGTATATTCACCATAACATAAAATGTCTAATAAATATAGGTTTTTGGATTAATTTTTTTTTCTTTACCCAATATAATACCACTATAGGAGGTTTGTGTATTAGTTATTTTTTTTAAGTTCCATAATAATTACAATAATGCCTACATTTTATTGATAACAATCTTTACTCGCCCACGCGCTGCTGTGGCTTAGCTTGGCAAAATGAAAAAGAAAGAAAATAGAAAGCACATATGAGTAGATTAGTAGCAAAGGACATCTATCATTTTTAAAAAGTTTGGAAACAAATTTGTCTGTAAACTGGCTTCAATTTAAACTAATTCTAATGGTTTTTTTTCTCATGATTCAAATAGTATAATAGTATTGACCTACATAAGGAGAATCATATAACTTCTTCAAATGATAATTTCAATTACTGTAGTAATTATAAAATTTTCGATTAATCAATAAATAAAAAAAAATGCTTGCCTACCTTTTGGTAGCTAGGAAGCAGAAGGAAATGGCCTTTTCTGAAGAGAAAGCAGTAAATGTTTAAAACTCTATTATTCTGCAATGAACTGTCCGATTTCGATGAATTATTTTGTCGCCAATTCAGAAATCTTTCATCTAAATGTGGGTATTATCAGTCAAAAATTCTGTACGTTTTTAGTTATCGTCAAATAGAATATTGAATTCATCGTAACATTTTTAAGCTTGTTTTCGGGAAAGTATGTTATACACACAAATTAAAAGGGTTTCAAGGGGAAGACTTTAGCCAAGTTTCGTTAAAATCGGTAAAGCCGTTTTGGCGCTACAGTTCATAGCGAAACATTTTTTTGCGGCTTTGAACAGAAAACATTTACATTTTTATTTTTTTTGCTTATATAAAATTATCGTAAGACAGAAGTACTATGCCAGAAACCTTCCCAGGAGTGTACGGAACAACTTCCCAAAGTTGTTCATTTGTTCATTGTTCATTTGTTTCATGGCGATCGGATGAATGGTTTAGTAATGTACAAAGGACATACATTCATTTATATATATATATATATATATAGAAGATGACTTGCAAAAATTTTAATGATGAAAAAACAATTAAAATAAGTAGTCCTTTTTTTATTATTTCTTCATGGATGGTCAACATTTTGCCATTCCGTCCAAACAGTCCTGTAATTATGATCGGCTCTAAACTTGTTAGTGCCCTGCATTTTTTTACTTTTCTAATGTGAATGGCTTTAAGAGTGGAAAATTACAATAGAACATTTTAATTAATTAGAATTTATACTAGTGGTCAGAATTATATATATACTTTGACATGAAATGGAGCTAATAGTCTTGAGATGGTTAGGTAAAAAAATAAAAACAATAAAATATTAATAAATCATTTTTTTTTTTTTTTTATAGGAGACTTTCAGATGATTGGGAAAGAACCATTCCTGATTTGAGAAGTCTTATTAATACAAATTTTTCTTCTGGAAGCTATTGTAATAATCAAGAGAGAAAGAGCATGGATTCAGATAATGGTTATGATTTCGGTCTTGCAGTGCAACGTCTTTATGATGAGGTGAAGTTTTTATAATCATTCAAGTTATATTAAACTGGTAGTAACATGTATGGTCTATTTTAATTTTGAAAATTGATGTTACTGGAGCATGAATTAGTTTAAACAATTAAATTGTCTTCGCTAATAAAATCTTCAATGTCTTGGTCTGCCTTATTATATTACTTCTTTTGTTCAGAAGAATAAAAGGATGCCTTAATAATACTAAATGAGCAGATGATGGAGGGACTATCATGAGCTAGGCTTACCAGAACGTTTAAGGTATTTCATTGAGGGAAAATGTAAAAAATCAGAGATAGGGTAATGTCCAAATGATAAATGCCTATCCATACAGCCAATAGCATAATTTTAATTTGGAATCCTGGCTCCCCGTCTAAAATCAACAACGGAAAGTTTACAACTTTGATAGTCAGGTCGTATTTGTAAAATAGGAGAAAACAGTTTCAGGTATGCATATGAAAGCGAGATTTATAGGTCAGAGACCACCAGATCTAGAAGATCTAATTTGGAGCATATCCAACAGAATTAGGTCTGAATAGAAGTGAAAAACTTTTAGGGAATAGCTAAGATGAAAGTTCTAGCAAAAGACCGAGAAGTGTAGTCTAAGTGGCACCTCCATACCTCACTGAGGAGAAAGAGAGAGGTCAGCTGATTATTTGTGTTTCATTATTATTCAGTACTCTTTTCCTCAGGTGTGTTTCAACAATAAGTTCACATCAGTATCTTATATCTTATCTTTGACTCATGATTAATATCATCAGTTTGATACAAGATTATAGTAACTTATAAATTTTGGTTTATTAAGTTTAGACTTAATTCAACATAATAATAACTTATGTTAAGATGTTAAGGAAAAATTATTATAGAAATAGTGGGAAATTATAGACAATTATCTTGTTCCATATATTTGTTAGAGAAAATGTTTAAAGAAAAAACAATGCAAAAAAGTTTCTATATTTAATAAACCCAAAAACAGTATTGAAGTAAAAGATATTATAGAAATGTTAGGAAATTATAGGCATCCTGATTGAGGTATTTAGTTATGCTTGATTTGTAAAACTTCAGACAGCCTTGTAAATTAAATGTTTTTTGGTTGCCGTACAGACTAAATGTAACTATAATAAAGAAAAGAATCACTTGAACAATATCCTATCTCTGGATTTCTAATTTTTTCTTCATTGAAATACCCTACATGTTACTTGATCTGAGAGATTCAGTAGAATCTTTCTTCGTGTTGAGGTATGCGAATGTCCATATATTTGTGAGAGGAAAATGTGTAAAAAAAAAAAACAAGAAGGTGAAAAAAGTTTCTATATTTAACAAAATCAAAAACAGTGTAGAAGTAAAAGGGAGCTGATAAACATACAATGACAAAAATTTATAAAATAAAAAATAAATAAATAAGCAAATTACTGGAAAATAATTTAAATTTATAATATTCATAAAATAAAATAACCTTTTTGTTCAGTAAAGTAGAATAAAAATGTTAAGGTCTGTAGCATGATGTTTAATTCCTGGAATTAACTGTTGGATGGCTGGAGGAAATGATTCCTCTGTGGAATATTGTCATTGAAATGTAAAAGTAAGAGAAGTCAAGCAAATGTACCGAGGTTGGTCAGCGATGTGCATTGTGTGTGCAAGATTCAATACAGCATTGACTAGTGGTTGAGAGCTGGAGTAAACAATGCCTTACTTATATAATACGTAGATCAACAACAAATGCGCAAGTTCCGTCTTCCTTTTCGATAATAATTGTGCTTATTTCTAATAAACTTAATTTGTCACATGTTAATTAAATTATATGTAAAATCTTTTAAATGACATTGAATCATTTTTTTTTTTTTTAATGTTGCTTCAACACCTACCTCATGTTATTTTCTCCATCATCTGCTCATGTAGAACAGTTAAGGCACTCTTTCATTCTTCTGAGGAAATGGTACATAGTGACATAATGTCTGAGGATCCCTTTATAGATGGTAATAGGTAGTAATGGAAGTTTTAGCAGATTTGGAATTATACATTTTATTTTATTTCTTCACTGGAATCCTTTTAAATCTGATTAGTATTGTAAAATGATTAGGAATTGTTACCTTTTATTTATTTATTTTTTGTTTTGTTTTTTAAGGTTAATTCTTTGGATTGTGAAAATAATCCTGAAGAAGAACTTTTCTCTCATTGTCCCCAAATATGGTGTTTAAGTAGCTCTGATAACATTATTGCAGCCGGTACATCTTCAGGTAGGATAGAATTTTGGGAAGCTACATCAGGACAATTCAAGGTGTGTTCAAACATTCTAAGAACTATGAAATGTTATAATGATAATGATATAAAATGTTATTTTGATAATTTTAGCAATAAAATGTATTCATGCTTAAACTATAAAAAAATTTTATGTTGTTTAGTGTATATATGATGATAGTAGTGGACTGGGAGTGACTTGTATAAAATTGACTTGTGGACGAGTCGTTGTTGCAAGAATCAATGGGACTCTGGAAATTTTGAAGATAGAATGGGAAAACCGATTCGGTCATGCTCCTTATCGTAGATGTTAGTTTTACTTAATATATTAATTTATAATATTATCTTCATTATTTATCAATTATGTAATTAATAATAACTTTTTCTTTCAGTTGGTGGCCATTTTAGAACAATGAGTGCTGGTGGTGCAGATGATTTAGGAGCACCAATATTAAAAGTCAAACTTAGCTCTGTTTTAAGAGTTCATCAGCAGGCCATCACTGTACTTGAAGTTGAATCTGGGAGGATAGTTTCTGGAAGCCATGACACTACATTAAAAGTAATTTTCTCAGTAGCTGAAATTGGAAATTTTCAAATATTGAGATTCATTTTAATTTAGAACAAAATTATAGCCAACATTTTAGGTTAATAAAAATCTTCATTCAGCATATCAACTGAATATAATTCCTTTCTTAGTCTTCTTGATCAAGAACGGGATGGCCGAGCACGTTAGGGCGTGGGTCCCAGAGTGCCTGGTTCTGAACGTTGTGGGTTAAATTCCTCCCTGTGTCAGTTACTTTTCATTTCTCCGGGAAATAGATCATGACATTCCTACCCTGGTCAGTACGCAACGGCAACCTCAAGGTAGCCGTCTAGGATTGGCAAAAAGGACTACATAGGCCTACTTGCCGGACTTGTTTCCTCCACCAGTACCAGTAGATAGAGAATCAAGTGATTATTGAAAGTTGTAATAAATACATTATAAAAGCTAGAAAGCTAACATTTAAATAAATTGTCACGAATTTGTGTAATATTATTGAAATATTTATTTCAGGTCCTTAGTCTTATGGATGAACTACTGGTGTTCACATTGCATGCTCATTACGGACCGATCACTGCCTTGTTTATTGATTCAGTTAATCCAATGACTGCTGGTTCTGGGTCACAAGATGGTGGATTGTGTGTGTGGGATCTTCTCACTGGTAATTGTGCACAATAATCTAAATTTATTTATTGTTTAAAAACATTTCCTTGGAAATTTGGAGGTCTGTCCTAAAACGGAGTGATGCTCTTTTCCTAATTTTATCCTTTACAAAATTATTTGAAATAATCTGTACTATAAAATTTTGGATTGTGGGAGATAAATAACCAATCTTCTCTTAATATGCTGTTTATTTCAGGTGCATGTGTATATTCTCTTTGTGCTCATGATGGTCGTGTGCAGGCTTTGACATACTCACCAAGCTATGTTATCTCACTCGGTTCTGATGAAAAACTCTGTGTATGGGACCGATTTCAGGGACATTTGTTAAACAGCATAGTTATGGTAAGATTTTTTATATTTTCAAAAATAAAATAGGCCAATAAAATATTAGGCTAATGCGTGTACAAAACAAGAGTTGTCCAGCAAAACCTTGGTTGCTTTTAACTCAGGCATTAACACCCTCCCCCCCCCCTCCCTCCCCGACCTCTCCTCTGACCTGGGGAAAAACCCATAGAGCCTAAAAGGTAGGTTAGAAAAAGTAAAAAAGTCATTTTAAGATATTTGAAATAATTCAAAAATATATTTTAGACAGTTTTTGTATTCAATTGGTTCCCTGCTCAAAGTTTGACTTATAAATTTATAACAACAATTCTAGTAAATTCTTTTGTTTCTCAAAATGAAGATTAATCATCTTACACCTCTCTGGCTTTAAACTTAGGAGGTAATATAACTCCAAAAGTAGATTAATTTGTTTGATGATTTAAGCAAAACCTAATGGAGTGGCAGACTTTGAAATGGATTCTTTATGAATATGAAACTAGAAATTGGTTCTCAATGAAACAGACATTTGTTTTAGAAGTTGAAAATAAAAAAGTTATTCTATTTTCAAAATAAAGTAACTCCCACCACCTTCCCCTAGATGTAGAATTTCTCATTTACCTGGAGAAACAATGTATGATGCATTTTGGTTTAAAAAGATACATTCAATATTTATGACAGCTATTTCGAAATAAAGCTATCTTTGTTAAATTTCACTATTTATGAGTTTCAAAATAAATGAGATTCATTTGTACCATCATGAGTGAGTCATTAATATGTGGTATTAATTTTTCAGAGTCAAGCTTACTGTACAAGTATGACAATGTTAACACACAACCTTCTTGTCATTTCACAACAGGTAAGAATATTTTAAATTAATCGTAGATCTCAGATCACGTTATTCCGCAAATATTGTTTGTAAAAATATGCTACACCTGGAATGTTGAGTATTGAGCACATCAGTTGTTTTTTATCTACTTGTCTCGTATGATTATTAGGTAAAAGTCATCAGCATAAAACTGATGACTTTTACTAGGGGGAAAGGAGAGAGATAAATTAATCTTGCTCCTCCAACCTGGCAAAAAGTTTAGTTAAAGCCCTGAGTATGATAATGCTCCTTTTATTATATTAGCCCGAAATGTTGAAAAATATTTGTAAAAATAATTTTTAAGTGTCTCAAATTATTTAAAATTCCACAATCATTTGATTTAATACTCTACAATGTATACCAATGCTCATTTTTTCACACATTAGTGCAATAGTCCGCAGTTATGAAGTTATTGTTTTAATTGTAATTATGATTTTTTTTTTATGCCTAATACCATCAAACTAAGATACAAAATTTTTAACAGATCTTTTGTTTGGACTCATGGTTCTTTAATTAAGGACTTCACTTCTGTTGAAGATAAGCAGACAAAAAAATGTTAGATGCAATATATTAATAGTTTCAAGCAGTTTATTTTTTGACCAGTTATTCCAACAGAAAAATATTAATTGACCTGATTTCCAAAAAAAATAATCTGATGTGGTTTTCACATCACACAAATTTCACTTACCACCCTCTTCTTAGCAGAAATAAGTATTTTTACTGCCTAGTGCTATCTGTTGTAAACCTTATCTCAAACATTGTGGATAACATGTCAGCAATCAAGATGGCCGAAAGAGTAGCAAATCCCGACTAGTACCTTAATATTTATATTGCTGTAATCTATACAATTAAATATTAAATAATACCAACGATAGCATTTATGAAAACCGTATATGTATATGTACATAATATTGTCAGAGTCCGTATTATATTATGCTCATGTTAGATATAGTAGACTGTTCTAATCTTTAGGGTGGGCTCGGGAACGCTCTTATTTCTCCTTTAGTTAATTATCAAATTCTTTTATACTTTATATTTAACTATTTTTTATATCAAAGATTTATGTGAAATGTTTAATTATTTCAAATTAAAAAAATCAAAGATACTTTAGAGGAAGCTGATATTCAAAATTAGCCATTTAAGCCCTGTTAGAGAACATCAATGAGAATAAAACCTACATTATATTAAAAACTGCTTAATAATACACTGATAAGCTGAGTTTAATCTAAATCGTTTGAGCCGTTTTTTAGAAAATCGTAAAGATGGGTAACATCGATTTTATAAAGTGCCACTTCCTGTTAGCCTATTTTGACAAAAAAGTTGCTGTAACATTTCAGGTATATACCAATCTTAAATATGTAATTTCACTTTCATACGACTTTTTGTTTTTGAGCTAGACTGGTCACATACATACACACACACACACCATTTTGCGGGACTTGGTTATTCAGACTGAGGATACCTCAAAAGATGTATTTCCGTTGAAAACTCAGAATAAAAAATGTTCACGATCCCAATACTGTCCCTAACTATATATTTCATATTTAGATAAGTGAAAGTAAAAATAGATCGTCAGTTTATTAAAAAGTCATTAAGTGATTTTAAGTAAGTATCAATGTTTGATATATGAAAGGGTTTATATCATTTTGGTATACTTAATTTTTTTTTATTCTAATAAATAAGATTTAAATGTACAAAAACATTCTTACAAGTTCAGTTCCATTAAACATGTACCTTGTGACTTTTTGCAATAAACCATCAATATACCGACCAATGAATTCTAAAAAATGGCTTTCAAAAATGCAATAATTATGTTACAACAAGAATACACACTTCTTTACACAAAGAACAATGGTCTAAAACATTTCATTTTATTCAGTATCATAATGAATGTTATGTACATATTATAAATTATGAATTTCTTATTCTATATGTTGTGAATAATATCAGCCTTAGTGTGAAACTGCATAAGTCCAAAACGTTTTGATTTAAAATTATTTTCCTTTTTTTTTATTTTTTTTTTTACACAGAACAGTTAACTGTTAATTTTTTTCTCCCTTGGTGTAGTTATTGTATAAGAAAAAAAGATGTCCGAATACGATGAAAATGTAATTTTAAAACAAAATGTTTGACAATTACATGGTTTCACGTTATTGTTGATGGTATACTATTGGCAGAATTCATTTTTGAAATGGGTGACTTTATCTTATATTAATTTTTTTTAGGGCTCCTTGGTAGTGAGAGATGTAAGAACCAGTGAACCAGTGAGGTTAGTTAGGCTTGGCCATAATGACTGTTATGTATCAGTAACATCCATAATTAGGTTGCGATCGTCCGTAGCATGTGATTATGGCAATTCCCTCCGTATTGTACGATTTCCATTAGTTAGAGATAAAGCTGACTAAGCCAAAGGTGAGTTGTAGGTATTATATCTAAATATAGTAAAACATATTATAACATTTTTTCACTAAATCTTTAAATTTTCCGTACTATAATAATAAATATTCTGGATCTCTTTTCAAATAACCTTTTCCACAGCTTGTCATTTATTTGTCACAAGTCTTACTTTGTCTATTTTATCTTATTTCTTTTATATTTTCCACCTTTATATTCACTTCCCTTGGCAGCCCTTTTTTTTTTTTCTTTTTTTTTTAAGTTTCTTTCTTGATTGTCCTCAACAGTCCAGGTTTCTGTCTATGTGTCATAATATAATATATTACGTTTTTATATTTTTCTATATCTATTCTTGGAGTCAAAATATATAAAACAGTTATGCTGCTAAAGCAATTTAAATATGTTTTAAATTTAATTTTTTTTAAAAGCTATATAATATCTAAAAGTAAAAAAAAAAAAAATCAAAGTTCCCACCAAAAAAAAATAGCAAAAATCTCATGGAACAAAAATGGTTTTATAAAACAGTTTCTAAAATACAAGAAATAGTCATTGCCCTTTTTTAAAATAACAGCTTATATAGCAAATAGACTATTTAAAAAATATTTTAAAAAGTATTGTTTAAATGAAAGAATGAGCCCTATTTGGAGGGAAAAAAAAAAAAAAATGCTATAATATACAATACAAAATGTTTTAAAGTAGAGCTAAGAGAGTTTGGACAGTATTGTTTTTAGCAGCAATATCATGCTACTGTGGTCTCCGTCCTATAGCTGACAGTGATGAGAACAATTATGTAATTATGAAAAATTTCATATTCTTCATTTTAAGATTAACAAAAATTACCTTTAACTTATTATAAAATTAACTTCTTGCATTTCCCTACTTAAATTTATCAATAAATGCTGATCAATAGGTATAGGAAGCAATAGGAGAATCTGTTTTTGCGATATATTTTGCCCAAATCATTAGCAATTTTTTTTTAATGAGACAGTAATGAATGGTTCCATTTTAAGAAGCGTTATATTGTCTATATCTCTTTGAATTTATGAGAGTATAGGCTTGTCAACTACTGGCAAAAGTCCCCATTATAAGACTTCAGTAGCTGACACCCGTTAAATATCCAATTCCTTCATCAAGATAAGTTAAAAATAGGTAAAACATAATTCAAAAACACTCCAAAAAAACAATCAAAGTTTTGTAATATTAGTAGTTAAACAGAAGAAGGCAAATCTAAGGTATGGTGCTCTTACTGACAGATGGTTGCTCCTGGGACACTATGTGGACCGTGAGGGACCTTTTTAATTTGCCACTCATTATTTTGGTTGTAATTTCCAGCAAGACTAAAGCAAAGCAGACAAATATAGAAGGAGCAAATATAAAAACAAAAAAAATATTAAATAGAGGTCTAGGTCATGAAATTGTATTGATACACTGTCAGCTATTGGTTATTTTACCCTGATAATAAAATTCAAACAATTACAGAAGTCACTGATGTAACTTAATAATAGATGTTTTGTAACTTACTGAGAGATACCTGATATATATATTTGTTGAATTCTGTTAAATAAATTTAAAATACTTACATTCATTTTTTATTTTTAGGTTACAATTTTGATATTAAAAAGACTGTGAACCGTACCACAATCCTGTACTTTACTTTGTAAATTTGTAGGTTTTATGTTGTCCTCATAAAGGAGACTTAAAAAATTATACCTATATATATATATATATAGCTTATTTTTAAAATATAATTGACTCTCCTACTTCTGTAATATTTTTCTTTTTCTTCTTTAAATTGTTTTGTATTTTAAAATTTTCAATAAAACTAGTTGTAGTAATTTATGTATTGTAATTTTTCTTGTTACATTTTTAGAATTAAATTAGTGAATTTGAATATATCCAATTGGATCTCTATTGATTTAAAAAAAAATGGAATTTATTATAAAATATTGAAAAAGTTTGAGAAGTCATTTAATATAGTTGTGAATTGCAATCTAATAATATAGTATAAAAAATGTTAATGTTTATCATGAGAATTGTTTATGAGTTAGTTCTAAGAGGTGGTTATCCTAATTTATTTTTAAATTTCATTTTGATTAATTCAACCATTTGTTTAAAGCCAACCGGTTTATGCAGTTCACTTTTGATTATCACTCCAAATGAATTAATTTTCCCTTTAAATATATCTTCGATTATAATACTTGAAGATAAATTGTATGTGTGTTCAAGGTAAATTGTATATAATTTAGAAATACCTTGCAAATAATATTAAAAGTTGATTAAAAAATAATCAAAATAGTAAAATTAATGTTAAACGATTAGAATATTTGATGACATTAGTCAATTTATTATTATGGAAGTTCTGTTTTCAATTTATTACAGCTCAAAAGTAATTTCTTTAGGCATTGTGATTCCAAGTTATTATTAAGACTATAAAAGTGTTTATGTATGTACACATATTTATAGTCATTCATCTGGATGATCATATTTGCGATTTGCTATGTTTGTAATTCATTTTTTGGTTAGTTGTCATTGAAAGTGATCATCAAAAGCAGGGACCAAAATAAACTGATAACGATTTTAAAACAAATTTATATATTTATAAACTAATTTTATTATGGTCAAATGAAAATTTCGAACTGATATTTAAATTTAGAAAAGTTTTTCATTATTTTATAATTAAAAAACAAACAAGTAACTGAGTTTTAGATATTTATTTTAAATAAATCAATGGACAATGCAACACTTAACTTATAACTAGATGGTACAGTTTGACGTGCAAGAAACGGAGAACAATGTTTTTTTCTATGAATCATAACATCTAGAAAAAAAAAAAGAAAACTGGAATGGTATACATTTTAAAAATAAATAATAAATATACCTATACTTGATATTGATTTAATCAGCATTATTATTATTCTGTTATTATGCTCAAATTATTCCAGAAAAACAAGCTTTGAATCATCTCTGCTCAAATTTAATATAATACATGGCTTAAAATGAAATTATAAACTGTAAATGTTATTTAATTTTTTTTCTTATTAAAACTGATTAAATACAAATATTTGCATGATGTGAATGTTTGTTTTCATTCTTGATCAAAACTGAACTGTTTAGACCTGAAATTTATCAACTAGGTTATAATTTCAATCAAATTGTATTAGAAAAAAGTTTTGTGTCAATTATTTTGAACTTTTCTTTATTATGCTTGTAGAAAAGATTCCTAAAAAATGTTTTTGTGGCTAATAAGCAATTAAATTAGTTTGGACTGCTTTGATTTTATATGTGTTATTAATGTTTAGAAACATTTTAGATGATTTTAGTAATATTTTAGATGTGATAAAATAAAATATATTTTTATTTTCTTATTATTAAGTTTAGTAATTGTTCAAATTTTACAATTGTTAATAATAGTTAAAAAATTATGTCCATGAATAATAATGGTTTTTGAACATGTTAAAGCAGTCACTAAATATTCTCTTGAAAGTTTAATTGTTGATTATTTAAAATTTAAATTTTATATAACATTCTTAATCATCAGCCTTCATAATTAATTAATCTCTAAACATTTTATTATTAATCTCTAAAAGAGGTAATCAGCACTATTGAGTTGACTGGTCATGTCGTTACAGGTGTGTCATGTAACATAATGAAATGTACAAAAATCATTCAATACAGTCAAGTTATGCCAATTTTATTCCGTTTTTATGTATTTTAAATAAATTGTTGTTTTTACTATTGAAAGAAATAGTTATTAATTTAATTTAAGATTTTTCATATATTTTAGTTATTTGGTAGTGGATCATTACTCTTAAATAATCGGTGATGTATAAGACTTCCATGTATGTTAATGCTTATGAAATATTCTATATTATAGAATTGTTCTGTTCTATATTTATTAATTATTCTGTATTACATTAACATTTTGAGAACTTATTCCATTATCAGAATGTTTATTTCTTTGACTATTTATTGTTGCGTATTTTACTCCTTTGTCATTTTGTCATATAATTTTTTTTTTAACGCATAATTTCAAACAGGAATGTCGCTATTTTGTCAGAGTGAGAATAAGTAGTCAAAAGGAATTACTTTCTTATGATGGAGAAAGATCATTAAAGGTCTAAGTATTACTAGGAATTGTTAATAAATTAAAATGTATCACTCATTATCTAAGAATTTAATAATTATAATTTTAAAATTATAATTATTAATTTCGGTAACATTCCAGAGATTATGTTAATAATTGTGTAATTTTAAAAGTCTACTGGAATTGACTATTGACCTGCATGATAAATGGAATACCTCTCTTTTAGTGTTTAATGAAATTAATTCTTTTAAATCTCCAGTCTTATATTTTATTTTATTAACTTTTTATAGGGCATTGGTACAAATTTTCCCCGCTTAAAAACCAGTATTTAAAAAAACCCACGGGAAGTCTTAGTTTGCTGTTAAAGGACTGATAGAAGTAGAGAAAATAAGAGGTTAGGTTACCTAGAGAAACGCAATAATATAAAGTTAACATTTTTGAACTATCTTATTTTTATCAATGAAGTTTATGTAGATTATTCATGACTAGAAACCGAATTTTTATGTAATTTCATTTCTATTTCTTTTATTTTATTTTTTTATAGCTTCATATTCAGCCGAAAACACTACAGAAATTCTAACCATAAAGAGGCCACTCAATTGATAATGGTTTGGGGTTACTGCAAAATTTGCACATTTTGAGAACTTTCTGCACGAAATAATGTTGTTTTAAATATAAGATCAGTTTAATTTAAAAATTTAATCGCTGATAAAAATCGAATCGATAATGTCAAGAAACTAACAATTCATATTCAGTTAAAAATTGTTCATACAAGATCAGTTATTCTCCTATCTCATTCACTAGTTTTAGTTTGTCTATAATCACTATAATTTTATGGCCAAAACATTTTCATGAGACAAAGTTTTAAGTTAAGAAACTATACTGTAATAAAAAAATATTTCTGAAAATCCCTTAATGTTTGGTATTACATAAATAAGTAATAAATTGCTCCGTAGTAAGTTTAGGAGATGCTCTCTGTTTAACAAAAGTAAAGGAAATTTTTAAATAAACCAAATCCTGATTTCAATAAAAAAAATCTTGGATCTGATAATCTCTCTTTAAATCTACAAATGCCTATTATTAAAGATGTAAACAACTTTTTTTAAAAAATAAATAATGAGAATAAAATTTATGAAAAATTTAAGGAGTTGTGATGGCTATAAAATTTTAATAAAACAACCATTTTTTTAATGGATAAAATTCTAATATGAATTGTACCAAATATTTTAAACTCAGAAATAATATCCAATCACAAGAGTGGATGTTAAAAGCTTATTTTCTCTTTTAAAACGTATACTTGATGATAGGAGGTATTACTTGGTACAAAGACATTTGAAATGCATAAGGTATTGAACCTTAATGGAAATAATTTATTTTACAGTTTCCAAAAGTGTTAATGTAGTTTTTATAAAATAAAAATTATTAGTTTAGAGTGTTTTATTTTTTCATATGTTATGTTAATAAAAAGTTTTAAGTTAAAAGTTTTTTATTTATTATATATTTTTGTGCTTATTGAGACTTTTTTGCATGTTTCAAAGATTTTTACATTAAAAAATTCCAGTATCTATTTACGAGCCATCCAGTGCAGACCCCCATAGTTTATTGAGCTTCCTATTTTAAATTCTTGTGAATTTTATAGCTCCAATTCTGAAAGCCTGCTATATTATCTAACTTAAAATATATATATATATATTTATATTTTTTATACAAGTTATTGAATAATAATACATTCTGCAATAAGAATTAGGGTTACTAATGTCCATTCGTTCAATACTAAATGATAATAATAACATAAAAACAAAAAATATATACAATTTAGAAATAAAATTGTTTAAATAAATAGGATTTCTTAAACACATTTATATCAATTTATTACAATATTTGCATTCACTGGGAGAACTTCGAACCAAGCTTTGTCCTCCACATACGAAAAGCAAAGGAAGCAAGATTCTAGGAGATCCTAGTGGTTTTTCCCAGCCACATCACGGGTTAAAAAATATTATAATATAAAAAGTCACTAATTAGTCAAGGTGATAACCCTTTATTAGAATATGAATTTTTTTGTGTTGCAACTCTAAAAAAGGTTTTAGTAATTGTGTTTTACTCATTTTTATAATTTTTTAAAAATATTGTTTAGGTTTTTTGAGATTTTTTGGTATAAACTATTAGTAATGCTAGAAAAAGTACACCAGGATTAACTTTTAATATTAGATGTATTTAATTGTATAATGAACATAATTTTTTCATAATAACGTAATTTTATGCCTTGTTCACATTGATAAAATCTGTAATTGTAATTTTTTTTGTTTTCATTCACAGGTCTAATAAATTATTATAGAAAGAATAAAATTTGTTGTCGCGCAACGAGCAAAGGGCCAAAATTTTAAAAGCAAATAATAATTTTTTATACTCAGTTCCTGAAACTGTTTCATTATATTTTTTTCAAATTCAAGCTAAGGTTAATCTGTTTTATTATAACTTAAGTTTTTGTTATCATGTTTCTACTGATAAATATATTACTAAATTGATAATAATTAATGGTATTTATCAAACAAAATGTTAATAATATAGTAAGGACTAGTGCCTTAATAAGAAATGTACTTCAGTTCTATAATTCATATTTTGTTTGATTTAGTTTCGTGTATTATAGATCAAATTTAATTCAAAATGCTATAAAGAAATGTATAGATAT